GGTCTCGTCGCAATTGAAGCGGCGAGCAGTCTCAGCATAATTAACTGATTCCGACGACTTCAGGAAGTTAAGTGCCTCGTCAATAGATGCCATGGTTGTTGAGTTATTGTCGATTGATGTCGAGAGTGCGGAGTGGCGGTGATCCGGCGTATCACCGGATCCGGCAGATCACCGGGAAATCCCTTACTCGTCGCGCGGTTCCATAAAATTTCCATCCCACCTCGACTTCAAACATTCGCTCTACAACACATCGCTGTGCCACGCGAGGGTCAGCAACGGGGGCCACACACACAAACACAAGCCGTCGCAGAGGCCAATGTAGCCCCCCTAGCCCGCCATGGCCCCCAAATACATCGACGCCAAGGTCCGGCCGCTCGCCAACAACACGGGCCTCGAAAAGGCCAGCCTCCAAGGCGCCGCCCGCGTCTACGTCACCAAGGATGCCTTCCTCGCCCTCACCTCTAGCAGCCTCGACAGCCGCGTGTGCCTCGTCGAGAAACTAGCCGCGCCTCCGAGCTCTGCCGCTGGCGCGGGCGCGGGCGCCGATGAGGGCAGCGCGCCGCCGCTGCCGCCGAAGCGCGAGGCCCTCCTCTGTGCGCATCCCCAGGGCATGAGCGCCAACGTCGTACAGATGACGCGCGCTTTCCTCGACGCTTCGGGTTTCAAGGTTGGTGACCAGGTGAGGATCGTGCTGGCCGAGAACCCCGCCGCGGCGGACGCCGAGGAGGTAATTGTCGAGGATGCATCCACAGATGAGGATAAGCTATCGGCCGAGGCAAGACAGTCTCCCAGCTGGAAGTTGTCTTGGGAATTCTCCCTCGGAGTGTCCATGAGTGAGTGGCCCTCAAACTGCCTAATGGCATGATCTTCATTTAACGCCGCCACAGGTCGCGCTGAGCAAGTCTTCCCTGGCATGGTCTTTGAGGGCGTCAACGTAAACAAGTTCCGTCGCAATTTCAAGGTCGTGTCCGTCAACTCTCAGACCACCAACCTCGCTAGGTTCAGGCTCGCCTCCAGTGCTGTGCGCATCGTCCAGCCTGGTGAGTCTCTCGTCACGGACATTACACCGGCCGCGCCGGGAGGCGACCTGATCGTCACGGGCGTGCCCGGCCTGACGTCCCAGGTCAGCACACTCAACAAGTTCTTACGGGGTTTCACTCGGCCATTTTGGGTCAGGGACGAGCGCGAGTCGTGCGGCATAGTCATCCACGGTGGCCGCGGGACCGGCAAGACCTTCATTCTGCGGCGCGTCGAGGAGACCAACTGGGGCCGCGCCTACTGGATCAAGCCCTCGGACAAGCTCTCGACCCTGCGCGAGACGTTCAAGCAGGCGTATGCCTCACAACCCAGCGTCATCTTCATCGACGGGCTTGACAAGATCACCGCTAAGGACAGGACGAACCGCGAGTCCGTCATCGACACCCTCGGCGAGGAGCTTGATGCCCTGTCGGTTCATGCGCACTCCAGCGGCGCGCTTCCGCAGGTTGTCGTTATTGCTACCTGCCAAGACTGGATGAACGACGTGCCCGAGCCGCTGCAGAAGCGCTCCCGATTTCGCAAGAACATTGCGCTCCCCATCCCCCGCGCCTCCGAGCGCCTCGAGATCCTCAACTTCCTTGACCCGCCGCTGCGCCCGGAGGACAAGGAGCGATGCCTGCTCAGCATCTCGCAGAAGACGCACGCCTACAACGGCGATGATCTTGCCAATCTCGTCCTCAACGCTAAGGAAATCCTCGGCACCCGGCTCGACGAGGAGCATGCCCAGTCAAATCACCATGATGAGTCGGATGACCGCGTCGCTACTGGCGCAGATGGGGCCGACCGGAAGCAGAAGCAGCACCAGAACTACCTTACACCAGACGACATGGAGGCGGCTCTGCGCGTCACCCGTCCCACGGCCATGCACGACATCAACCTCAAGCCACCGACTATCCACTGGAAGGACGTCGGCGGGCAGGAATCCCTCAAGCGCGTGCTGAGACGCATGATCAAGAACACAAAGAACTCGAACCCAGCGTCGGCGCGCGTCCTGCGTCACCCGCCCAAGGGTCTGCTCCTCTACGGACCACCCGGCTGCTCCAAGACGCTCTCGGCGCAAGCCATGGCCACCGAGTCGGGCTTCAACTTCTTCGCCGTCAAAGGCGCCGAGCTGCTCAACATGTACGTAGGCGAGTCGGAGCGCGCAGTCCGCACCCTCTTCGAGCGCGCCCGCGCCGCCAGCCCGTCCATCATCTTCTTCGACGAGATCGACTCCATCGGTGGGCAGCGCGCCGGCGGTGCTGGCGGAGGCTCAGCGTCGGCCTCACGCAGCACCGGCGCCGTCAACATGCTCACCACACTGCTCACCGAGATGGACGGCTTCGAGTCCCTGACGGGCGTCCTTGTACTCGCCGCCACCAACCGCCCCGAGGCCATCGACCCGGCGCTTCTCCGCCCGGGCCGCTTCGACCAAGTCCTCTACGTCGGCGCCCCCGACCGCGCCGCCCGAGAGGCCGTCTTCGCCGTCCACCTGCGCGGCCTGGCCCTCGCCGCGGACGTCGACGTGCCTGAACTCGCGCGCCTCGCCGACGGCTACTCGGGCGCCGAGATCAAAGCCATCTGTAACGAGGCCGGCCTCGCGGTCCTAGACCGCTTCGACGATGAGGAGGATCAGGAGCAGCAGCAGCCAGATGGGGACGCGACTCCTGCCAAGCTGGAGATTGGCATGGCCGACCTCGTGGCTGCCATTGACAGGACACCGAGGAACATTACCGCCGAGATGGTGGACGGATACGAGGATTGGAGGAGGCAGTTCAAGAGGTTGATATAACTTTACGAATAGACGGGCTCTGTACTTTGCAGAAGCAGGATATCATGAATGATATGTCGGGTGGCGTGAAGAAGTCGTCCAATACAGATTATGTCACATCACGAGAGCAAGAGACCAGAACCAAGTGTCATCGCTGCAAGGCCAGTCCATTCTTCCCCGTTCGTGAAGTGGTACCGCCACCAGGGACGCAGTCCCCGGCGAGGCACGCAGTACGTGCCCGGTATGTCCGCTCGTCCACGCGTGGACTCATTACATGCATATGATACACCACCGCAGGGCAGGGCAGGGCAGGCAGCAACCCTGACTCCCGAAACTCGTAACCCAACCTTCCCATCGGACGAGGCCCGCCTGCCCACTCCGTCCCTAAGTCCCCCCATCAATCTCATGTCCCGGCTGTCCTTGCAGTCTACCCTTTCACTGGCGGCGACGCGCCCGCACTCGGTGTCGTCCCCCCGTCTCTATCCCCACGACCGCGCCGCACCGCGCTGGCCGCGCAGCCTCTACCACCAATTCGCACCACCTCCCCCGCGTCCCACCCGGTATTCCCCAAGGAATGCCACGGCCGAAAATGAAAGAAGAACCAACACCCCAGGGTGATCTCACACACGAAACGCCGTCCCCCCGGAAAAAGAGAAGAAACCCCAGCCCGCTTTCCTTGCTGCTGCTGCTGCTGCTGCTCTTCTCCCTACTCGAACGAACCCAACCGAGTCCCCGTCGTTCCCGGATATATGCATGCATCGACGTTGCCGTGCTGTGCCGTGCCGTGCCGCTCCTATCAAATCTCTCAAAAACCCAAAAGCCCGAGAAAATCCGAGTCCGTTGATTGATGATGCCCGTACGCCGTCGCCAGAAAAACTACATGTCCGCCGAACCCCTAGGAGTCGTCGCCCGTCCGCGAATCGCCGCCCGTCTTGACCGCCGTGGAGAGGCTGATGGAAATCTTCTTGGAGCCGCCGTTGCCGCTGTTGGGGCTGAAGCTGTTGCGCCGAGAGCTGGCCCTCGGCGAGGCGCCCGGGTTGGACTCGGAGGAGCCGCTGCTGCGTCGCTTATTCTGCATTAGCTTGCCCAGCTCATCATCCTCGTCTTCCTCGCGGCGGCGCTTCTCGGACAGTCGCTCCGGCGGAGCTACAACGGTAGGAGCTACGGGCTCCTGGTTCGCTGAGGCGGGTTCGGCGGGAGCGGCGGTCGCTGTCGAGTCGGCGGCTTCGGTCGTCTTCTCTTCACCTTCGGCATTGCCGGTTTCGTGGCTGTCTTCGTCGGACGGGTAATCGACCAACGGCTTCGACGGAGTCTCGGGGCCGTTGGACGGCAGAGTTTTCACCGACTCCTCTTCGTGGTGCTCTTCCTCCTCGTCTTCAGGGTCCGACGTGTTCCAGTACTCCTCCTCGGCCGGGTCGACGGCAATGTGCTCCATGAGCCTTGCGTTCGGAGGAGGTTTCCTGGTGAGATCCTCCTCGCTCTCTAGGTAGTAGTCCATGTTGGCCGTGAAGCCCTGCGTTTGGTCGTAGCGCAGCACCAGGTCGCGGAACGTGGCCAGGTAGCTGAGGCTGACAAGGCGCTCGCGGTAGTTGAGGACCAGGTGTTTCACAAGCTCCTTGAGATTCTCCTTTTTGATGTGCTCGAACAGCTCCAGGGACGCGGAGCTGACCAAGTTGTCTCTCGGCAGGGTATCAATGAGCACATCCAAAATGGGGCCAAACACTCTCTTCTCCGTAAGATGCTTTGTGTAGAACTCGTCTTGGAGTCCGACAAGATATCGGATAAACCTAATTGACACTGTCTTTACGTTAGCGATGGGCATCGGGACGTCGTCCGCGTGCAATACTCACCAAGCCGCAAGTACTTCTCGGGGCTCTGCAGCAGCTGGCAAATCCGTTCTGCCAGATTGTTGTTCAGAACAAAGTGCTTGCTAAATCGATGATGTTGCCGAACAAAGAAGCACAGTATTTCCACGAGATAGGTGAACATGGAGGCCTGCTGCACTGAGAAGTTCATATCACTCCGGTCCTGGAGGTCAAGCAGTGGCTTGAACAGCTTCACCGCGGAGCGTTCGTAGAATCTGGTCAAGAAGACCTCCTGCTGCGGGTCCAGCGTCGACTGCGGCCGCGGCCGTCCTACAAATTCACCGTTAACCTTGGCAAAGTGCTCCGGGCCTTGCGGCGGCATGCCTTGGTCAAGGAGCACTTTGAGGGCCTCGGAGATTTGCGACTTGACTCCGAGATCGACCTCCACGAGCAAGAGGTCGATGAGGGAGTCCGTCAGGGACGGCTGATTCTCATTCGATTGTCGGTAAATCGTCTGTCGAATCATGTGCGGATCGTGGTCGATGATCGAAATCATGATGTCCGTGGCACCCACGCGGACCGCGACGTCGCTATGTCTCAGGCCGAAATGGATGACCTGGAGCAGGCCGTGTGCGATAAAGTTGTTGTACAGCGTCTGTCGGGAAGGCGGTTGGATGTTCTTAGCTATGGCGCAGCACTGCTGGATGAACAGCACGGCCTCCTTCCGCTTCTTCGCGTCGCGACGACGAGCATTGAAGATGCCAAACAACTCGGCCAAGAACGCAGAGTTGGACTGGAGGTGCTGAACAATGTCGACCTGGTTGAAGAAGATCAACGAGTTTAGGACCGAAAATGTGGGATCGTCGAGGATGCGGGCCAACACCACGTCCTTCAGGTACTGAAGTCGATATGTCTGGTGGATCTTCTGGCGCGTCTGGTCATCCTCGATGGGCACAACCTCCTTGAAACGGCCCCGGTTATCGAGCCAGTGGCGGTGGTTAGCCTTGTGGCTGGGGAAGTCCGGGTCGTACTCGAGGGCACCGACAACGCCGAGAACACAGTCGTCCGACACGGCATGCTCTATAATGGTTGTATCGTTGAGAAGCAGAATGGTCTTCATGATGTTGCAGAGTCGGTGCAGGTCGGGTAGGCTTTCGAGGTCTTCCGCCATCTCGACGAGCGGGATGAGCTTGCCAATGTAGTCTTCCGCCATGATGGCCTTGGCGAGGCTGTCACGGCCTGTGGGCGAGGTGGCCATCATGCGCATTGCCGTCTCAATTTCGCCCAGGTTTCCGAGTTCGGCGGCTGGGAGGCTGATGGTTGCTCCGGCGTCCATGGCGAGATCATCGGAAAGGTCATCTGAAGATCGGTCATGTCAGCATCGACGCGAGTAGCGCGGGGGCCCGGTGCTACGTACCGACTATGGCATTGTTCTGCAGCGCGGTTTGGATGTTGCTCACGAATCGCCTACGCGAAAAGTCAGCACTCAATCATCACCAAGCCTACCCCATTGGTTGCGACTAACCATATCAACGCGCAGCCCTCGGCCTCCTGGAAGCTGAGGGCCATGTCAACGCCGCTACTGGGCTCTTGCCAGACGATGAGGGTTTCTGCGCGACAGGTCAGTAGGATATTCGGACGACAAGGGTCCAGCCTAGTGACTTGCCTTGCTGCTTCTGGAATCCATCTTCCTTGAGAATTTTGGTCTCTAACAGGATGCGTTCGGGTTGATCTTCGGATTCGACAATGACGCGCGGGTCCTTGCGGCCATCGTCGGTCTATGTTGGCAGGGCACACGATCAGCTCACGCCAGCACAGACGAGGGCGGGGATTGCGCAGCGGTGGAGATACGTACGTTCACAAAGGTCGCGGTGCAAAAGCCGGTGCCGCGATCGAACCAGTCATTGTTGCGCAGCTCGTAGACCTTGACGCGCCGCTTATCCGTCGCCTGATGAGGCACCGGCTGTGCCATCATCAACGGCTCGGAGTCCCCCTCCGTGGCGAGCTGACTATAGGCGACCAGGTCGGGGGCGAGTTCGAGATGCTGCTGGAGGGAAAGCTCGGATGCCGATGTCTCGTTGTGGCTGAGGATGGTAAGCGCCGCCACCTTTGCCTCCGAGTCTGCAGTCGCAGACTGAGCGCGAAGACGTGGACGCGGAGAGGAGAGGCGGGACCGATGACCCGTCGAACAGGCGGGCGGGCGGCGGGATGCGCGTGCGTGCGTGCAGGCGTGCAATGAGATCCTTGCGCAGAGACGGCGACGGCGATGGCGACAACGGCGAGGGGCGTCCGCGACTGGCAAAGGTGACGTATCGACAGCTCAGCGCGCCATGCAAAATGGGCCGGCCCCCAAGACAATTCAGGCTCGGGCGGAGATGGGTCGGCGGGATCGGATCAGCGCCAGGCCACGGCAGGGTCGCAATTCGCAGCGCGGGTGGCACAGCGCAGCGCGGAGCGCGACTCGGGCGGCGGCGGCGGTGGGCGCGGGGATGCAAGCGAGCGACCGGCGGCGGCTGGCACGCGGGTGCAGAGCGAGGCGCTTCGTTGGATGGGGCTGGAGGGGCGCCGACGAGGTGAGGTTGGTGTCGCGGGTCGGAATGACTGAGGGATGATGACAGGTGAAGTGGGCGAGCAAAGCGCGTGACCGGCGGCGCCAAGTGTTGGAGGAGTTGGGTTTAGGCTGCGCCCTGGGCCTGGGGGGGGGGCCAGTTAGGTGCCCCTTGGGCCTGGCCTGCCTGGGATGCTGGGGTCGCGGGCCTGCAGCGCCTGGGGGAGCGCCTCGCTCATCCACTGACTGCCAGCGCCGCTGGGGCGGTCGGCCGTGGCAAGTGAGCGGCGGCGGCCACTGATTGGGCGGTCGCGGCTGGGGTTGGGGCTGATGAGGCTGCACCAGCGCCCAACTGCGATGCGCCGCACGGGAGTCGGTGAAATTTGGCCAGTTGGCCCTGTGGCTGGTGCAGACTTTTTTTTTGCCTCTGGCACGCAGGCTGCGAGGCGAGGCGCGGCGCGGCAGCGAGCACGCCACCCCGTATTCTGTACTAGTCACGTGATATCCAAACCCCTGACTCCTGAGTCCGCCCCGCCTTGGCCAGTGCTTGACGCCGCAACGTCGATCCGTTGATGGTTGGGTTAGCTTCCGTTCCAGGAACCATTATGCTCGCTGATCGCCACATGGCTGATGGATCACTGGGCATTGTCTATTCTCGATTCAAGGCCGACTCCGCGTCTTGAAAGTGGACGACGGCGGCGAGCCAGTCATCAAGCACTGCTCGTCTGTCCGTGCCTGTCCAATGCGTCCGTCCGCCTGTCAACTTTGCATACCGCCAAGCATCTTGGCTTGCGCGACTGCTCCCGTCGCTCGCCTTGCGCTGTTTCGTACTTTGATGTTGTACAGTAAGTAGCTGCAACTAAAGAGAGGCGGTCATGCGGCCCGAAGCTGTGATCACTCGCACTTGGTGCAAGCCATATGCTACCTACCTCGTCCTGCGCCCTCACTACTTGTGCCATCCTTGGCACTACCAAGGCGTATCCTTTCACGTCTGGGAATCTGATCACGTCACATTTCACATCAGATAGGGGCCATGGACACCGGACCGACTATGTGTGCGATGCGTGCCTCGCTCAAAGGGACAACCCGGGGTTGTGTCCCTCCCGTTGTAGCAGCCCCTCGAATACCGTGATCTGGTTGAGCGGGCGGAGAAACGTAAATCTCGACCGCGGACTGCTTGACCTCGACCACAGGTCCAGACAGTCCAGCCGATGCACGCGCTGTGCCAAGTTCCACGGTATGACCACGAGCCGTCTTCTCTTCGTGGCTCGACGGCTCTCGTTCGCCAGCTGCCGCGAGACAGCGAGGCGCAGATTGTCCGCAACGCGACCCCAACGGCGACGTGCAACCCGATCATGATAACAGCTGCCGGGAGTCACACAGCCGCGGCGTTATCTCGCTCCACCTGAATGTTGCGGAACTGGCCGTGAGCACTACTGCAAATAGTGTCGAGGACAGCACAGTACGACACAGCACCACCCTTACTCGCGGGGACGACCATGTGGGTGGTTGACAGGACAGTCGGGCAGTCTGCGTATCGTGCAGGCCATCACCTGCCGGTACCTCCCTGTCCCTGCCCTCCGGGAGAGTCGATGACGAGCCCGGTGACAGCGATTGCCACTCACCGGGAGGCCTACCGCTTGTGCGACGTGAGAGTAGCGTTCGCAGCCCGGCCAAGCATCGCCAGCGCCGGCCCCGCGATTTATTGATCACACTGCAGACGGCACGACCTGAGTGGCCACCGGCTTCCCACTCGCACCATGGCCGTCGTGATCGACTCTCGTCCCGGATTGAGGTCCAGGCCTCTCGCTTTGGACTCTTGGAGTTTGGCGCGCCCGTCCCAAGACCAGGCCCACCCGACAAGGTGCGCCGGAGCCGCAGTGAAAGCGCCTACCGGGGCCCCGGCTAGGCCCAGATTAGCATCCATTTTTGCGTCCAACGAACGGATTGGGGTTGTGGAAAATAGGTCGACCTGGCAGGTAGCTAGCGGCGGTCCCGGGCGGGCCACGAGCCGCTGTGGAGCGTTCGGGGTTGCCCTGAGCGTGCGATCCGCGGCGGACGCTTACCGCGTTGGTGTTTTGTTGAACTGTCCACCTGGGCTAAGGAGCAGCCGTGGTGATCCTGGGGGGATCACGGTGAAGCACTGGTGAGAGGATAAGGAAAGGAAAGAGACAGGGATGCATCAGGCAGTGCTGAGCTGTCAAGGTGTTGCGTTGAGCGATCCGGCCGGGCGCGTATCGGCGGCCACGGCCGGTCTTTTCCGTCTGCCGCAGCCGCAGCCGCAGCAGCCCCTGTTTGTTCTCCGTTTGGCAACCGCCGATCTCAACGGAGGCAAAACGAAGTCCCGTTTGCTTTGCTTCGCCCACCGTGCAGCACAATCTCGTTGCGGCAGTCCGTGCCCTGGGGGCTGGCCGTTCACTCTCCGCGTCCTCGGCCTCGGGATGGTGATGCCGCTGCAAGCAGACCTGGACGATGCGATGCCTGCGGGTCGCCCCCGGGCCAGCGTCGCATTTTCCTACGCCGGACCACGCACGAAGTGCAGGGAGACGAGTTGCGCAGAGCGGAGTGGTGTCTCGAGGCTGATGACACCATGCAGCAACTATCGACAGTGGTACGTGTACAAGCGCCCGGGGTCATGATGCCCGGCGCGTGGTCTTGGGTAGCATGCCGAAGCCGCCTGCGGACGCGGCGGCAGCAGCAGCAGCAGCAGCAGCGTGGGACCTTGTCGTGTCGCGGCCCTCTGAGGCAAACGGTGAGACGGGCCAGAGTGGAGTCGCGCGCTGCGATCTGGAATCTCGGCCGGCGATGCAGAGCGCCATTGCTGCACGCACGCAGGCAGGCATGGCTGGATGGCAACCCCCAGCGGATATGGATGGGGCGGCGCACAACGGACGGGCGACACAAAAAAATTATGCGACATGGGACAATGGACGACGCAGGTCAGCGCCTAGCGTGCGGCTGGACGACAGGCGGCCGCTGGGATCCGATACGCGAACATGGCATGAAGGCAGGCAAGCCAGCCACCAAGCCACGTCGCAAACTCCTACAGCAACGACGAGCACAACACGGTGCAGGGCCGTGCATCAGGTCCCGTCGTTGTTGATGCCATGTCCACCCATGCCCTGAGAACGACGGGCGCATCCCCTCGGACTGAGTCCATCCCAAAACACCGAACCCCTCTCGCGCTATCAGTGCCCGCCGCCGCCGCAGCTGCAGCATCCGGCGCTGACCCCCAGGCACAGGGACGTTGAGAGCGCCTTCACGGCAGGCATGGGCCGGGGGGCTTGGAGGCTCCCTCGTCCAGTGCGTGTGGGCGCAAAAGCAAGCGGCTTAGCGGGTGCCATGGCGCGCTCGGGTACCTTTTTGGTGCCCGTCCAGTGGCAGGAACCTCGAGCAGTTGAGAGTCCGGCGAAGTCAAAACGACAATACGAGGGCCCCAGCAGTTTCGACTTGCATGCAGCCCGCTAGTGACTGGCAAGCGACAACAAGAGGCCCAAGAAAATCTGGTACTCCCGCGGGCGCTGTCGCTTTCGAGAGGGGGGACCCTTGGCGACGCCGAACTGCGTCCATCTTTGCTGGCCGGAGCGACGATTCACGAGATGCCTTTTCGTTGGCCTCATGCGGCGTCGACGCGGCTGTGACGATCCGAACTGGCAGCCAGCCAGCCAGATAGGCATGTGATAAGCAAGCCCGCCTTCAGCCCGCTTCGTCATGGCGAAACGCCGTCTGGCCAGGGCCTGGCCGTGGCGGCCTGCGCGTGCCCTCCCGGATTGCTGGTCGTCAGCCTGTCGAACGGTGCGAGAAACGTGGCTGCGGCAGTCTGACCCGCCAATGGACAGCGGCAACGGTCGCCGACGACAGCTGAGGACTGTCACTGGCCCGGGGCTCGCGATAGGCAGTGCCAGATGATGGTGGTGGAGGTGGTGGTGTACTGGTGGTTGTGGCACCCAGCACCAAAACTGGCCCCTCCATCGCTGCGGCATGTATGCTGTGCCTGCCCGCGATCTCAGGTAAATGAAAAAGATAAAATAGAAACAAGATACAGAGCGACATGGGGCCGGGTCCGGGCCGCCGTGTGGGATGCCTCACCCCCGACCGAGCAATCACAGCGGCCGGCTGCTACCTCAGCGAGTGCTATCATGACGTGTATCAGGCGCGAGCTGCCGTGTGAGCCTGCGAGCCTGCGAGGCATGGCATGGACAAGGTCTGCACGACAAGCGCACACGCCGGCCCAGTCTCACCGCAGGGCCGGCCCAGCGAACGCCTTCGTTTGTCGGCCAGCGCACGCACGATGGGCTTGCCTTGGTAGGGGGGGTCCGACGCCATGGATCGCTCGCTGCAGGGCATCAACCATGTAGCCTGATGTAAGGATGTACGAAGTACAGCTTCACGATTCCATGTGCGCGCGGGTACCTGGTGCCAGCGTCTGAATCGTCCGTGCCGTTGGTATTACCGTCGTACCACCAGCAGTCATGCTCGTCACCATCGATCGTCTTACCTTATTGTCCAACAGCCCTCCGCGTTTCTTTTCCTGCCGTTCCCACTGGTCGACGCCGCCAGGTTTACTTTGGCGTCAGCCGCCGTCAGTGCCCCGGCCCCTTTGCCGTGCCTCCGCCCTCTTGCCCTGCCGCTTGGCTGGATGGCTGGCTGGCTGTGCCTGGTTGTCCTCGTATTTCTAGTCAAGCCCTCCCTGTCCGTCCAGATCGGCACTCCTCGCCGTCGCCTCCTCGGGATCTTCCAGGTTTGTTCTCTCCTTTTCGTTGCCCATTATAAGAGGAGCAAGCGTCCTTGTGTCCGGGTCTCGCGTTGCTCGTTTGCGGGGTTGGACCGCAAGGATCAAGTCGTTGTCGTCGTCGTCGTCGTCGCCGTTCGAGAACCTGGCCCCCCAATACTACCTACCTACTTTCAGCCATTGCCGCCGTCTTCAGCTCAGCTCGATACCCGACGGGCCATTGTGCTTGCGGTGGTGCGTGGCCCGGCCGACCTTGTACCTTAGCCTGGCCTTTCCATTCCATCGTCTCCGCACCAAAAGGCCCAGAGACACGGTCTGGCAGGTCCGCCGCTCGGTTCGCGCTCCGCAGGTGCCGAGACCAGGCCCTGGTGCAGGGCTAGCCTCTGTTGATTTGCTGTGCTGTCCAAGTACGGGAATACAGTAGAAGGCCAGTAGCCTGGGCTCGAGTCCCGGTCAACCGCAAGACACGACTGCGTGTGCTTGTACTAGCAGGCCTAGCACCAACCACTTGCTGGCCCTGCTTACCTCCCTATTCCAGAACCAGGCAAGCAACAGCAGAGCCCCTCCCTCCTTCCCAGGCCACCATCTTCGATTTACCACAGAGCACCTGGCAAAGCTGGGCACCTGCGAGTTGGCCGCGCTTGCCTCGAGTTGATGAAAAGGCCCGTCTGGCCGGCCTCGCGTCCTTGCTCAACACCTCTTCGACTCCTCACCCCGCCGACTTCACACAACTCTCTCTTTCCGTCTCCGTCTCCGTCCCCGTCTCTCTCTATTTCTCCCTCTATCCTCCGCCCTCCCCACGCTCTTTGACCCCCGGGCCCGTTTGGCTTGACACGCACGGAACGGGACACTGCACAGTCAGTGGTCGGACCGTTCTGCGACCGATCACGCAGCAGCTAAATCCGGATTTGGCTGCGACGAATCCCCTGACCCTTGGCCGCCGCCCGCTGAGGCTGATAAACAGCTGAGCCCGCACGTCTGTCTGAGGCCTCGCTTTGCGTCTGGGACCCTTGCCTTGTCGTCAACAGGCAGGCCCTCCCTCAGCCCATCAGGGACGCAGCATCCAGACACCCGCCGTCGCCGCCGGACGCCCCTCCAGGCGCACAGCTCCGGCCCACGACTCCACCGTCCGAACACCCTGATCCAGGTCCCCCACCCCGAGTTTCACTTGAAAGTCTGGGTCTGTCCGCCCGCAAGGCCCCGTGCCGCCCCTCGCACGAGCTCCACCCTGCAAGGAATTCGGCCCGCCTGAAGAGCCCGCCCACGGGCCTTTAAAGTCGTTTGCCGCCACGCCGCACCTTAATCCAAGGTGCAGGCATCGACGCTCACTCTCTGTCTGCGCCGCTGACTGCCTTGGCCAGGCACGTCGCTTGCATCGCTGCGCCTTCGCTTCGGCTCCCTGGCTCTCAATACTGCCACTTTTTAGCGTTTCAGGACCTGTCACCATTGTCGTCTCATATCCCGAGCCTGCCACCGTTGGCGTGCCATTCCGACTCTGACTTACACGAAGCCGTCGTCCCGGACTGCCCGACCGCCAATTCTCATCATCACCATGTCCATCTTTTCAGGCATTCGCAAGAGCCGCCGGCAGGCCAAGGAGCACAACGCCAAGCTTGCAGAGCAGAAAAAGCTCGAGGAAGAAAAGGTCCCTTACAAGCATGTTCCGACACACGCCGCCACAGACGCCTTTGCCAGCGCGCCGCCCAGCTGGCGGGAGGCAGACCGAACTCGCATTGTCGAGCAGAACCGGAGGAGGAGCGCAATGGCAGCCAGCGGCCACCACATGAACATGCCCGGTGTTCCTCGCGTCGGCAGCAGCCTGTCTCACGTGTCCTATCCGGGACAAGATGTTACCCCAAGCGCTCGCCTGCCGCGGGCTTACAGCTACAACGGGGTGTCGCCTTATGTAATGCAGGGTCGAGACGTCGTATACTCTGTGCAAGACGGTTCATATTCTCAACCGCAGTTGAAGGGAAAGGAGATTATCAGGGGTATCGGCTATGACCAGCAACGCATAAGCCCAACCCCTAGCAAAGGTTTGCTTGAACTGGTAGAGCAGCTTGACAGAGTGGCTGATTTGTTGCCTCTAGGAGATGACCCCTCACCAGTGGAGAGCTCGGCGGGGTCTACCAGCTCTCAAGACGACCTCGAGATGCGTCCAACTCGACCTACCGCAACAAGACCGACAGAAGCAGCGACGCACCGGCTGCATCCCGCTCACAAGCGACGTACCTCCGACGCCTCGGTTGAGAGGCTTGCCATGGCAAACTCGGCAAAGGGCATGGGTCTCTCCCACTATGGCCGAGACTCGCGTCCACCACCCTCGATGAGAGGGTTCGCCTCCATCAACCAAGTCGCCGCCCCTCTACCAATGCATTTGGGACCTCTCCCTCCAACGGTCGTTGCCCAGACCCAGCCGCCTAACCTTCAAGTGCCTGCAGCCGGGTCGTCGGCATCCAGCACTGACCAGACATCACGTCAATCTTCTACCACTTCGCTACCAGGCCTCACCCCTACATCGTCCAGGCCGGCCCTGTCGGCTCCCGCAACTCCCGCAATTACTACCGCCACACAGAGCGAGTACTCTCTTAACTGGAGCCTCGGCGCTGAATCAGACACCACACGGGTCGCTGAACATGCCAGTGAGGCCTCTGTGGCTGCCCAGACGAGAAGCAAGGAGAGAAGACCGGCTAGAACGGCCCGTTTCTCCGAGCTAGAGCGGATCGATTCCATGGGGTCGGAGACGATGCAGCGAAGAAGTCCAGCACCGATTCCACCCCCTGTCGCACACGAGGACATTATCAACGTTTTCCCCGAGCCAGCGTCCATGCCTGAGCCAGTCAGCTCGTCCAGCAACAAGAGCAAGAGATTGTCCAAGAGCGGCGGCAAGTTGCTGAAGAAGTCACGGTGGTACAGCTCCAAGCCTTCGGCTGTCGCCGTATAGTCTACGAAGGCACCGCATGTGCCAAGCTTATTCACACAAATACTGAAGAGTGCGGAGCTTTGGCTGGCCAAGACTCTCCTGAAGTGGATCTAAAACAAGTGGGATGCGCTGTGTAAAACGGCAGCTCCAGTCGGAAACAAGTGGCCAAGTGTGATTGAAATCTTCGGTCTGGACTTGGACACATAAATGACGATGTAACGACGGTGGGATAGAGCATATGGTGTTTCGCAAGGATAACGGCGTTTCACAGGCATGGCACCAGGCTTGGACTTATTACGGATGTAGATGAAGAATCCATTCCAACGGTAATTTTGTGCCCTCGAGGCACGTGAAACCCGTGTTCATTATGTCTGCGGATACAGTGTATGCGCTCACATAACAAACGTAGAAGCACGAGGCTTGATCGCATCTCCAAATTGCTGACTTATTACACGCACTCAATTTGGAGACGGGAAGACTCCCTTATCTAGCAGTGCCAAGCGCAGTGGCATGGCCACCCCAATATGTATCGCCGAAGTGTTTTGGTGAATGCTCGCTGTCCAGGGTAAGGTAAGATGACAGATGAAACTGACGTGAGCCAACTTGTGCCAACTTTGGAACCCCCCGGTGCGGCAGCACAGTGGATCTGCAGAGGATGCGGACCGCTGTGGCGCCACGCGAACCCCTGTCGCAGGCGCCACGAGGTCCCTGAGCGAAAGGGTCCGAGCCGGCGTTCATTGGCCGGCCTTGCGCCACTGGGGCTGCCCACCAGTGGAAGTGACATCTGGCCTCGCAGCTTGGAACGCGAGCTTCACGGCACTTTCTCCCCACCATCCCACCTCCACGTTGTCACTCCTTTCTCGCCTTCCCTTGTCTCCTTTTCTCCGCCCAGGCGCATCGAATGGTCAATTAGAAGCGCCGTGCTTCCCATGAGTTGAGCACTGGCTCGGCCCTGGTTTACCTGCTTCGCTGCAGCTCGGGAACCAAGGCCGCTGAAGCTATCGTCCGCCCACCATGGAGCTGGTCTCGGACCTGGTGGCGCGCTTCTTGGGGCCGCTTTGGGCGTGGATTGAAGCGACTCCCGTGCACGTCCTCTTGGTGTGCTTTGTTGCGCTCCTTCTCCTCGGCTTCATAAGTGTATGCGAGTCCCTCCCTCAGACGCCAATGTTGGGAATTCGGGGTCCCTCGAGAAGCTAACTTGGGGGTCCTGGCCTACAGCTCTTCCTGCTTCTGCATCTTGTCGCGCCGAAACCACGACCCGTCCTACCGTCGGAAAAGACGTACATAACCTCGAGCCCCTCGGGCACCCCGACCACGCCCCGACAGCTCCCCTGCTGGCATGACCGCTGGCAGGCAGAGCGACGCCTCAGCGAGGAGCGAATCAAGCCCCACGAGGCATACCCCACGCCCGACGCCGGCTCCATTGAGCCCGCCGAGCTGTACCTGAGCGTCGTGTTCCCGGCCTACAACGAAGAGGACCGCATCATCCCGACGCTGGAGGAGGCCGTCGAGTACCTCGACAAGCACATCGGCCGGCCTACGGACCGTAAGACGGTCCACAGCCCGTCTCGACGGCGACATGTCCGCGCTCACTCGGCCGACCGTGAGCCCGAGAAGGAGCTCTCCGGATACGAGATCATTATTGTAAACGACGGCAGCAAGGACAAGACGGTGGACGTCGTGCTTGAATTCGCGAACAAGCACCAGCTACATGACATTATACGGGTCGTGTCCCTGACGAGGAATAGGGGCAAGGGTGGCGGCGTCACGCATGGGCTGCGACATGTGAGGGGCGAGTATGCGCTCTTCGCGGACGCGGATGGTGCTTCGCGGTTCAGCGACGTGAGCAGGTTGATCGAGGGCTGCGAGGAGGTGGTTGACGGTTCACACCGCGGTGTGGCCATTGGCAGCCGCGCGCATCTCGTCGGCAGCGAGGCAGTAGTCAAGGTATACTCCCTCGGCAGCTCACTTCTCTCGACGCAACCCGAATCTGTACTGACGCAGCTCCGCCCGCAGCGCTCCGCCCTGCGCAACTTCCTCATGCGCTCGTTCCACCTCGTCCTCACCATCCTCACCCCGCCCGCCACGTCGCGCATCCGCGACACGCAGTGCGGCTTCAAGCTCTTCACGCGCGCGGCTCTCCCGCACATCGTGCCCTATATGCACGCCGAGGGCTGGATCTTCGACATCGAGATGCTCATGCTCGCTGAGTCGGCGCCCGCCACGCCCGTCCTCGGCAGCGACGGCTCCGTTATCGGCGCGAGCCCCGGCATCAAGGTCGCCGAGGTGCCCATCGAGTGGCACGAGGTCGGCGGCAGCAAGCTCAACGTCATACAGGACAGCGTCAAGATGGCCGTCGGCTTGGCTGTCCTGCGCGCGAGCTGGATGATGGGCGTGTATCGCAGGCGGCTGACGTAGAGGTGACTTCTCGCGGGGGGTGGAGGACGCGGAGGAGCGCTCGCTGCTGTCGCCGATGTTGAGAGATAAATACTTGATGATAGACAGGGCAGGCCATGTGCGCCTGGAATTCAGTTTCCCACGAGAGGGACAGACATGTCGCGCCAAACATGAAAAAGCATTGCAGCAGGTGTGAGATGTGATTCGACTTGGCATTATTATAATTAAAAAGGCGTATACATGCATGCTCCCAATATGGCGCCTCCTTCATTCATCATCTATCCGAACCGACAGCGCAAGATGCCTCCTCCTCTTTGATTGTATATATACAGTGCCGGACCCCAGCCCGGTCAGTTTAAGCACAAACCGCCAAACGCCGTGAATGAACGTGCAGCATGGGATAATTGAGCTTCAATGCGCCCATTATGTGTGTATGTGTCCAATGACGGGATGCATGATATGGGACTCGGCCCGGTCACCGGAAGCCCTCACGGAAGACGAGCGGCAGGAAGACGGCCGAAGCCCTCCACAGGATGAGGATGGCATCGATGAGGGCGAGGGGCAGCTTGAGGGGCCCCAGGGGCCCGCTCATGACGGTGCGGGCGTTGAGCCACAGGGCGACAAATGCGACGGAGAAGAAGTGGTAGGCGAGCACCGAGGGCATCTGGATGATGCCGCCGAGCATGCCGCAGGGCCCGTCGGTGATGCCGCGCTGGAAGTACTCGAAGCAGCCGAGCTGGAGGGCGCGCAGCTGGCGGTCGTCTGCGGCGAAGAGGGTGTAGAGGGCCTGGGCGAGGACGTTGATGATGGACGTGTACTTCTTGCGGCGCCAGTAGAAGTCGAGGAGGGCGGGGCGGACGACGGCCGGGTCCTCGAGGTTGGGCACGCGCGAGGGGTGGAGCAGCTCGGCGAGGAGGAGGGCGTCGTTGAAGGCAACGGTCATGCCGCCGCCCGTCAGCGGGTGGCGCATGTTGAAGGCGTCGCCGAGCAGGACGACGCCCTGCTGCGACTGGGGCGTGGGCGGCAGCCAGCTGTTGGGCATGCTGCGGGGGATCTTGCCGTCCTCGAGTGCCTTTTCGGCGGTGGCGCGCACCGCTTGCGGCAGCGCGGGGATGGCCACGTTCTTGATGTAGCCGCGCACGCCGCCGGCGGCGGGGGCCGCCTCGGGCAGGCCCTGGGGCACGTCGAAGAGGGCGCGCGTCTCGTGAGTGCCGATCTGGTAGAGGAGGATGGGGGAAGCGTTGCCAATGATGACGTGGCCAAAGTTCTCCTGCGGCAGGGGGCAGTCGATGAGCTCGAGGGCGTAGAACTTGCTCTTGACGACCGACTTGGTGCCGAGGATCTGCTTGCGGAACTTGGAGTCGTAGCCGTCGGCGATGATGGTCAGCTGGCCGAAGAAGTAGTCTGGCTTCTTGGCGCCCGTCTCGGGGTCCGTGGTGCGCGACTCGACGCCGAGGACCTGCTCCGAGTGCTCGCCGCGGATGGTGCTCGTCACCTCGGTCTCGACGACGGTGATGTTGGCGTGGGCGAGGCACGCCTTGCGCAGCTGCGTGATGAAGCGGCCGTGGTGGAAGCTGCGGCCCTCGGGCCGCTTGCCGTCGCCATCGGTGCCGGAGCCGGACCACTTGAAGGGCACGTCGCCGGCGTCGTCGACGGGCGGGTAGGGGATGAGCGACGGCTCGCCGTGGTAGATGACGTTGTAGCCCTTGCAGGGGACGGCGTCGATGCCGTCGACGCAGTGCCCGAGCCCGAGCTTCTTGAGCGCCGCGAGCCCGCCCGGCTGCAGCAGCTCGCCGACGATGCGGTCGGGCTCGCGCATCCACCGCTCGAGGAGGATGACGGAGCGGCCCTGCTCGGCGAGCGCGTACGCCGCCGCGCAGCCAAACACGCCGGCGCCGACGACGACGACGTCGGCTTCGTGGTATGTCTCGCGCCGCAGGCCGGCGTCGGCGGCGGCGGACACGGTGGCGGTCGCCATTGAGGTCGCGTTCGGAGTCGCTCTTGGTCGCAAGCGCAGGCCGCTACTCAGGAGGTGATCGAGGGCCAAAGGGCCGTCGGGTATTATATGTCGACGAGAGAGGGATGCGGCGAAGGAGACGGCGATGAGGGGTGGCCACTCGTCCGTCAGATACTCGACGTATATGGTAGCCCAAATGGCAGGAGCACAGAGCTGCGAGCAGGGAAAAGAGTATCAAGAGAAAGTATGCGCACAGCCTCAAGCCATGTCGACACTGCCCACGGTCCAGTTGATGGCACTCGTCGTCGTTGAAAAAACGGTCGGGTGTGGTGTAGTGGTGACGCCGTTTGGCGGCTGTGCCTTTAATACCAGCGACCGTCCAGGCCAGCCCAGTGGATAGACGAAAAATCGCCCACCCAAAAGTCGAGCCCGTCAGAGGCCCCCCGTCCGTCCCGTCTGGTTGGCGCAGCGCCTCCTCAGCGCCTTCAGGGGTCCACGGGTCCCCTTCTGCGCGTTCCAGCGGAAAACCGCGCCACTGTGGGGCGCCGCGGCCAATAACCTCTCGCCTGGTCTGACCAGTCACGACGGCATCGAACCATCGCGCCCGCGTCCTTGCATGTGATGGCCGACCCGGCAGCGAAGCCTCCCGGATCTCGACGTGGACCTGTTGGAGCTCGTCGACGATATCGGGGCCAACAGAGACCCATTGGCCAATGGATGTTTGGAATTGGGCCATCATTCGACTGGCAGCGTCATCACCCGCGGGATTAAGGGTGCTCCCAGATCTCGTACGTGCTTGGTTGAAGCTCTGCAACGCTACCTTTCGGAAGTGTCTTACTCTTGAAGCTATGTTGTTACGAAGCCGCTATCCCAAAAAAACATGGCCCTGCTGATATTGTGAACGGCTCTCAATGTTGAGTCCCAACATGCCACAGCCACCAGAGCTTAATACCGGCTGGAGCTGCATCTCTTCCAGACACTCTACAAGGGCGTCTTGCGTCAGCCTGCACCCGCCGCAGCTGCCAGCACGGCACGAGCCGCATGCTCCGACGGCTCGCCTGACCGTTCCAGCTGTCCACCGGTGCGGCCCCTGATGTGAGCCCCCTTTTGTGTCGCCTTCTCGTGCAACACCGGAGCCGGTGGGTTTTTGATGACGCGTACGAATGCCTCTGTCACTGCTCTGCGATGACCACGGTTGGAGCGGCACCGCTTCACGTGGACGAGGGCTGCATCCAGCTGGTCCAGGGCCTGCCGGTGTGGTTTCTTGTCCTTTGGCTGAACAACGGTCCGCATCGCCGCCGTCTTCATCGCCAGCTTGACGCTCTCCTTGCACGTGCGGCTGCCGTGCCACCACTGTTCCCCAGATGTGAAGTCGCACAAGAGAGAATTGAGGGCCCTGTACCGTGCCGCACCGGTGTAGGCAAAAACGAGGTTCGCGAAGTTGTACTCGTTGTAGAGAAGCTGGCCGTTGCCATTCTCTCTGGCCGCCAATCTGCACATCTCGGCCGCGCCGCCGAGATTGCCCGTTGCCGACAGCATCTGGGTAGCCTTGTTGAACGCACTGTCGTGGATGCGTGCGCCCATTCGCAGCGCCTCCTCGATAAGCTCGTTCGGATCGTCTCCCCTTTCCAGTCGCGCCATAAGTACTGGTGTCAGTGCATCACTGATGTCGTGACCATGATCATGCGCTGATCGCATCAGGGCGATAGCCTCGTCGACCTGCGCCCCATCCTTGGCGTCCAAGAGTTCCATGACTGCTTTCCGCAGGGCACTTGATGATGCGGACTTGTCCTTTGCGTCAACATTTGTCAAGGCTTTGCCGCGTGGCCAGCGAGCCGCAAGGACGCCCGTCTTTTCGCCGACCAGTTGTAGGCGCGGGCTAAACGCAGAAAGTCTCTGCTGGAGGCTGGCAATGCTAGTGTCGGAGAAACTCCAATACTTGCGACACCGCGCGTAGAATCGTTCAATGAAGGCGTCGTCCATTGGCAATCCGCTGTCGCTGCAGAATTGCAGCCACTGAAACACAGCATCGGCCTGACGACGGCTCGCATGCTCGTCAAGAACCATGTACACCCAGCGGTACTTTGGTGTTATCTGATATGTTGCAGCCAGTGCTCGCACGAAAGCCTCCACTTCGTTGGGGGTATGTGTCTGCGCAAAAACGTCTGTGATTCGAATCAACACGGCTTGAAAGTCGGCGGAAGTGGTGTCGATGCTACTTTCAACTCGTTTCAGCTGCTCGTGGACAAGTTGCCAGTTGCCAAGTTCGGCGTCTCGAATGATCAGTCTCCCCTGGAGCTGCACGTCCAGTGCATGCGCATCGGGGGCTAGCTTCCGAATTGCTTGCATTTCCCGGGAGAGAAACGCGTCATTCCCGGCTTCCGCAGCCATGAGAGCCATTAGGCGCCGGATCTTGTACTCTGTTGTGTGAGGAACCGCAATGCTCTTGAACAATCCAGCCGCCTGCAGTGCCTGGTATAACTTCATGGTGCTGTCGAAGTGTCCGTGGAGCTTCCCATAACGAGCCAACATGCGGTACAACAACATGCCTCGCATCCAGAGTCGCGACTGCTTGCGGTCAGAGAGAAAGCTAAGCAAGCTTTCTAGGTGCTTGACCGAGCCGCTCTCCTGAATAAACCCGAGGCATGGAACGATGGCCTTAAGGGGGTCTCGACACAAAGGAACCAGAGCCGCCAGAGCGTGGACCATTCTGGACGGCTCATCCCGAGTCGTCAATCTCAATAATTCGACCCCGGTGGCTCTGATTGGTCTAGCAGCTCGGGGTATGGGTAGACCGAACGATGCAAGCCTTTGCAGCACCCGTGTTGCCAGGTCAATCCGCTCGCGAACGTCAGCTTGTGCCGCAGCGCTGATGTCTGACTGTCGAAGGAGCTGATCCAGGATGACCAGCGCCTCGTCGTAGAAAGGTCGCGGGGGGGAGGCTGTGCTTCCTTGCACGGAGCGTATCAAGTAGGAGCGGGCAGAGTCCAATGGATCTACCGCCTTGATGGGCGGGTTGGCCTCGTTGCTCGTAGCGTGGCCATCCAGGGGCGGGACACTACTGTTGCGGAGCTTGGTGCCTTGTACTGATTGCGCTGAAATCGCGCCATCCACAGCAGTATTTAAAAAAGCCTTTGGGAGCTTCAAAACCCCGTCGCGCGGACGGGTTGTCGGGTTGGAACTCGCGAACCTGAGAGACTCCAAGTTGATCACGTCGGGCACGAAGGCGTGCAGGCTAGCAAGAGCCGCGGTGGATGTGGTCGACGTTGATGTACGAGCAACGCGGGAGATTTGAAGGTCGTGGCTGTGTTTGTGAATGTCGGCATCACCGGGGTTCGGGTCGGTCGGTTCATCGCGGCGTCGTCGGCGTCGTGTCGAGGTTCTGGGTCGCGGTATCGATGACACAGAAAGGACATCATCGCCAACGCCCGAGAAGCTCCCTTCCCATTGAGCGAGACCCTCAGTCAAGGCGATGGGACCGCGATTGGACCTGACGGTGTGCAGTTTCCTCGCGTTGTCGATGGCTGCCCGAGCTATCTTGAGGCGTCGCCTGCGTTCCTCGGCCAGGAGAATAACGGAGCATGATGTGGTAAGGACGACGCCACGCAGTGCATTGAGTGCCGCCCTAGACGGGACGGGATTTGTTGATGCCATTTCGCGAGCCCATTGTCGCCGAAAGAGCTCTGGGCCGACGTAGCGTGGAAGGTTGCAGGCGTTGGGGGATGCTGCGGCGGTTCGTGAGAATGAGCCGTCGAAAGATTCTGGGCTCAGCAAAGCTCGGCACCAGCAACAGTCGGCTCGAGTTCGGAAGGGGCGGCGGTACGTACCGATCAGGCCACTGGTGGCCACTGCGTCTCTCGTTTCGCGCTAACCAGTTCGGGGTACCCGCATTTACACGCTCCCTGTGGAGCAGCAAGCCACTGAGGTGAGTGCCACGTCCATTAAACAACGAGCCCAGACAGCGAGGTCTGTCCCGGGATGAACCATATCAGTCGTAAGGAGCCATCTGTATTTTCGATTGGCAATGCTGAAACACAGGTGGCTGGGTGTTCATTGGGCGCCTTGTCAACCTAGACCTATTTTGCGGCTCCTTTCTGTGGATGGAGAGAGGCACTGATCGTTCCAAGTCCCACATTGACTGGAACAAGGTGGCTCCCGAGAATCGCAAAGGGCCCTGGTGAAATTCTTCAGAAAGTCGTTCGTCATGAACAAAAGCTTCAACGCTGCATACTTCTACGGATATGCAGGTAGATTAGTTATTTGCTAGCGAATCCTTGATGGCCCTCGCTTGGCGCATCGTAGGCAGTCGCGGCCGCCGCGCCTTCCGCTGAACACGGAACGGCAGCAGGGCAACCAGAGATGCAGCGTTAGGCACAACCAAGTCAATCACAAGCATCTCTTCGCTTCTTGTCCTCCAATTCGTAACTCTACCTTTTTCACAATCTCTCAGCAGCATACCGAATTCGCTTTCAACGCCAGCAAAGTCTTCGTTTCCAAGCATCATGAGCACCGCGTTGCCAATGGCCCCTCCGGCCCAGTCGCCACTTGCGCAGTATCGCCTTCTCGCACCGACAGCTGCGACCCGAGTAAGCCCGATCTGTCTCGGGACCATGAACTTTGGTACTGCCTGGTCAGTATTTTGGAGTCGGACAGTATCTCAAACGGATGTAGCCTAACGGCTGAGGCAGGGAGGATTGGCTCGGACGCTGTGATCAGGCTACGGCGGAGAGCATTCTGGACTTCTTTTACGAACAGGTGAAGGCGCCCACAAAAACAAAGAATCCGAGTACTCTAGCTGACCTCTTGCGTAGGGAGGTACGCTTGGCGATGCTACTCATCTCGAGGCGATTCTGCCTGCTCACATTCTACAACAGGCAATTTTATCGACACAGCCAACAGCTACCAGTTTGGCGACTCTGAGATATGGGTTGGCGAATGGATGAGGAAGCGCAACACCCGTGATGAGATGGGTACGTGCATATCTGGCTTGTTCGTCACTGCCCGAGGCCTGACTGGTTGGTGCTGCCTGCAGTCATTGCAACCAAGTACACCAGCAACTTCACCGCCGGCGCTGCGAATCCTCCGACTGTGATGGCAAGTTTCACCGGCAACGGAACGAAGAGCTTGGTCACGTCCGTAAAATCCAGCCTCGACAGACTTCAGACCGGCTACATAGACCTGCTCTACGTGCATTTCTGGGACTACAGCACCTCGATTCCGGAGCTCATGCAGTCGCTGAACCAGCTCGTGGCTGCTGGCCAGGTTTTGTACCTTGGAGCCAGCGACACTCCGGCTTGGGTTGTCAGGTAAGCAGACTGACACAATAATATGCTCGAGAAGAGCTGCTTGGACAGCAAAAATTTTCTATTGGCCATCACGGGAAGGGCCTCTTGGGGCAGCAGCGACGCAGCGACGCCGGCAGCGGTGATGGCCACATAGAAAAGGACTGCTGTCCAGACAGCCTCTCTCGTATGCTCGGTCCGACGGCTAACCCCCAAGCAGCAAGGCCAACGAGTACGCCCGTAACCATGGCCTTCGGCAGTTTTCAGTATATCAAGGCTTTTGGAATGCAGGGTCACGGGAGCTCGAGCGCGAGATTATTCCCATGTGCCGATCTGAGGGCATGGCCATCTGCCCTTGGGGTTCTGTGGGCGGGGGCAAGTTCAAAACCGAGGAACAGCGTCAGCGCGCAGACGGCCGCAACACGAGTTACTCCGAGGCGGATATCAAGGTGAGCTTGGTTCTCGAGTCTATCGCGAACCGAAAGAACTCGACCATCACGAGTATCGCGCTGGCCTACGTGATGCATAAGGCACCTTATGTCTTTCCGGTTGCCGGCGGGAGAAAGATTGAGCAACTCAAGGCTAACATCGAGGCGCTCACGATCGGACTGAGTGACGACGAGATCAAAGAAATCGAGAGTGCCGCGCCGCTTGATTGGGGCTTCCCACATAATCTAATCTGGGCCAGTGGTGCCGGCGCATCCTACCAGAACGTGTGGCTACTGGGCACCGGTGGCAACTTCGAGTACGTGGAGGAAGCAAAGGTATGCACAGCTCAGACCCTCTGCTCCAGCATGTAATACTGACCAACTAGCCTATCTCACCAGCACAAGGAGGGGCTTAGGAAGCTCACTCCAAGTCCTACATTTGGCGTTGGGTTTCGGATCGTTTCAGAGCACGACCTCGGTGGATTGAGAACAGAGCCTTCACTGGCCCCAATGGACGGACGAAGTGGTAGTTTGGCTTCTGCAGAATATAGCAAGGACATAAGCCAGATGTTGCCTCAGAAGGACATGGGCAACCCACGCAGTCCTTGGGAATGAGAGGCTGCGTCGCCACGACAAGACAGCTCTTCGGCCTTTCCCCACAGTCCATCACTACTATATAACGACCATAGACTCGGATGGCAATTGACTACGCTCAATTCCAAATTGGCGTGACTTGAGGCGATGGGCGCACACCCCTCCGCCTCGAGGTTGGAGCGAGTGGTGACGGGTGCAGCTCGTCAGGGGAACGACACCGATCGCTCCTGCCTCGCGATCGTGCACACAAAACCTCCCCTCCTCGCGCCCCCTAACTCGGCTACACTCCAGTCCCCAACTTCGCAAAGGCAAGCTTCAGAAAGCAAATGGGTCCGGTTTTGTGGGCAATTCGATCGTTTACGTTCTTCGCTCCCGAGAGACACAGGAGCAATGAGCCCACGTCGGCATCGATCGCTCAGGTTCGACCGGCCTCTCGATAGGCCTAGACACAAAGGAACACGTCAGAATAGTACTCCTTGCTACAATTTGGGCGCCTTTCGGCGCGCCCGAGACGATGTCCTCGACAAGACACCGGAAAATCGGCTCGACGTGGACAGCGACTCTGAGCCAGAGTGCGTGCCGATGACACCAGAGGACGAGTTCAAGTACATAACAACGTCGGTGCATACCCTCCGTCGATGAAGCATTTAGGAAGCAACTAAATCTTGGCAGGATACCAGAGACACAGCTGCCCGATCAGTCCAGAAGCCTAGAAGGGGCCATCGACTATGGCACCGACCATGACAGCCGCGAGTCTGTGGAACGGGAAGACGCCCTACGTTCGAGCTCCCAAAGTCTTGGCCGAGACGAGACACGCATAACTCCATTCGAAGCAAACAAAGGGTTGCGGGAGGTGCCTCGCAGTGCCCCCCGCAGCATCCAACGCATAGGGAAGTTCAATTTTCGACAGGGTGTGCGTATACGCGATTACAAAGTCCCCCGGCGGCGGAGGAGCGCCTCACCGACCGCTAGCAGAGAGTATCAAGGGCGAGACGGTTTCGAGGCCGCCGAAATGTCGTTGGGCTCTCCGCAACCGATGACACGTCGACACGAACAACGGACGCCTGACCTTGAGGCCACGATGCTGGAGACTTGCGACTCTTTGTTCAGCTCGCCTGACCTGGAGATCCTCCCTGCCGGCCGTTGCAGAAGATCAAGGCCCATTAGCTTATCGTCCGAGGCGGTAGATGCAGCTGCATCGACTCCGCTATTGACAGAGTCACAATCGCATTCTCCACGAAGTGTCCGGTGTGTTATCAAGCTTGAGGACGAGGATGACGACGTGTTTCGCAAATGGCTCGTCGGATGAGCAGAACATCGAACCCACGAAATAGCGTGCGCGCATTGGAGCAATCACGGATGAAGCTGGCTGGGCAGCAAGACCACTGATGTCTACTATATAGTTGGGGTATCTACAAGCCAACTGTTCCTCTTGCGCAGCGAAGTACCAATCGCAAAACATAAGTCCCAGTCCCTACCGAACGCCTATGAGGAGCTCGCCACTTTTGAGCACGTAGTGGCATTATTTGGATCCCTTGCCCTTAGCCTCGTTCTCTCCGAGCTCCCGTATCAGAATCGCAGTCTGGCCCTCTCCGCTGTAGTCGTCTTGCCCCGTCTCGAAGCCTGGGCACACACCAATCGCCAGGTACTTGCCGTCGCTCGAGAATCCAAGCGCCGCAACGCTGTTGGGAAACTTTTGGTACTGCTTCAGCCTGCGCTTCGCCACGGCGTCCCAGAGCGCCACGGTGCCGTCTCCGCCTCCGGAGGCAAAGGTGCCGTGGACAGGGTGGAATGCCAACGCATTGACGGGGTAGACGATGTCGCCATCGCCGTCGGCGGCGGGTTGCCTGTGACACTTGAACGCAAATTTCCGCGCCTGTGACTCGTCCGTGTCCTCGAACCACTCCACGGCGACTCGACCCTCGATGCTGCTCGTAGCATAACCGGCGTCGTTTGGCATACACGCCACCGCCCTAGTCAGGAAACGTAAGGATGACTCTCGCTGTTGCCAAGGCTTCAGATCCGTCGATCCGGAGGTGAAGAGGTCCGCCATGGCGTTCAGGTCGTAGATATTCATGATTCGGCCGGTCATGGCGACGACGACCTTGGACGGGCTGGCAGCGACGGAATGCGGCTTCCCAGGCAGGGGGACTCTCACGGGCTCGCTGGAAGGGTCGCTCAGGTTGTGAATATGCAGGCTGCAGTCCCATGACGCAGACACAAGGATGGCTGTAGTAGCTGTCAGCGCCGCCTCTGGTGAAGTTCATGGCTGGATATACTGACAATGATCTCTGCTGTAGACGACACATCGTACAGGGGCTTGATGCTTGCTCAAGAGCGTTATCTCTCCGGTCGCCAGGTCCAGCCTAATTCGGTCAGCCTGACATGATATAGTGACAGTGTCCTGATCGGGGGCCAGACGTACCTGTTGACACCCCAATCCACGGTGCCAGTGAATGCCTCATTGTCGTCGGCGCCAAAACACACGTCCAGCACCGGCGCTCGAAATTCGTAGGTATTGCTTAGACTATTTTCGTCCGCGCCGCCGGACACATCGTAGCTGTAGACCTTCTTGTCCCAGCTCGCGACAAGGAGCTTGGTCGGAGAAACGGGCGCAAATGCGACCGCGGACACTGCGTCGCCCGGGGGCGGAGAGAGCTCGTACTGAGTCGCTGCAGGGTCCACGCGGTCAGCAATACATCACATCAAGCGGAGGACACCGCTCTGAGGCCGTACGTACCGGGAGCCATTGCCAATGTGCTGCTCGCGAGTAACTCTGCGTCGACGGAAGCTTTCGTTCGATTGTTTACACAGCTTCGAGCCAGTCACGTGGGGTAGCTTGAGCCGCTGGCGGCGAATTCTGCCGGCGCCGACCGCCCCAGAACTAGCCACACCCCGCCACACCCCACCATCGCCGCGGCCTGCAAAATATCAAAATTATGACTCTCGCTTTCTCCTCAGCCCAACCCCAGATTCCGCTCGATTCGCGACGTCACAAGCCGCTCACTCACGAATCACTCCCCGCGAAACTCGCTTCCACCGAATCCTCGAACCGATCGAAAACTCCACGGACATAGGAGGAGACCGGAGAAGGACCTGGCCACCGCGTGCGGAGAATCGACCTCGGAGTCAACCCCACCTCACACCTCCTACCGACCGACCCGACCTTGAAGTCGCGACAACACCGCCAAGATGTCTTTAACAAACTGCCGTTTCTATGAGGAGAAGTACCCGGAGATCGATAGCTTCGTCATGGTCAATGTCAAGCAGGTTTGTGACTCGAATAGCGGCGGTCGCGCGGAGCTAGATGCTCACATGGGAAATGCCAGATCGCCGAGATGGGTGCTTACGTCAAGCTCCTCGAGTACGACAACATTGACGGCATGATTCTGCTGTCCGAACTTTCCCGGAGACGTATCCGATCTATCCAGAAGCTCATCAGAGTCGGGCGCAACGAAGTCGTCGTCGTGCTCCGTGTCGACAAGGAGAAGGGTATGTCGCCGCACGTGCTCCAGCTAGGGAGGGCGACGCTGACACTCGATGACAGGCTACATCGATCTCTCAAAACGACGAGTCTCGCCTGAGGACATGGTCAAGTGCGAGGAGCGATACAACAAGAGCAAGACTGTCCACCTGATCATGCGACACGTCGCCGAGAAGACGCAGACCCCGATCGAGACGCTTTACGAGACGATTGCCTGGCCGCTGAACCGAAAATACGGCCACGCCATTGATGCTTTCAAGCTGTCCATCACGTAGGTTTCACTGCGACTTTGGACTGCCAGGCGGCTGACATTTGTTGCAGCAACCCCGAGGTCTGGAATGACATTACCTTCCCCAGCCAGCCCGTGTCGGACGAGCTGAAGCTGTACATCAGCAAGCGCCTCACGCCCCAGAAGACCAAGGTCCGTGCCGACATCGAGGTCACCTGCTTCGGCTACGAGGGCATCGACGCCGTCAAGACTGCGCTGCGCACTGCCGAGGCGGGCAACAGCACGGCCGAGGCCGAGAGCTCGGGCACGGAGGTCAAGGTCAAGCTTGTCTCTCCTCCTCTTTATGTCCTCACCAGCTCCTGCCTGGATAAGAACCTGGGCATTACCCGGCTACAGGAGGCCATCACGGACATCAAGAAGAGCATCGAGGGTGCCGGCGGACACCTGGTGGTCAAGATGGAGCCCAAGGCCGTGACGGAGAGCGACGACGCCGAGCTTCAGGCTCTGATGGAGAAGAGGGAGCGCGAGAACGCCGAGGTCAGCGGCGACGAGAGCATGAGCGAGAGCGACGACAACATTCCCGAGACTGTCTAAGGGCCCGACGAGGCACATGTTCGGTTTTATCAGGTCCAAGGTTGCACCACAGCCTGAGGACACAAACTGCAAAGTGGGATTGGCATTGGCTGGGGAGTCTTGCAGAGTCGCTGGTCGGGTCAAGTAGAGGGCCAAGAGCTCGCGGACGGGGCAGCCACCCCTTGTAGCTATCAGACTAGCTTGCGACGTCACATATCGGCGTTGGAGGACGATACAAAAAATGCATCACGTACGTCACAGTTATCAATTTTTTAGGCCTGTGCTCGTGAATCCCATCACCGTTTCTACGGAGTTGCTGTGGTACGATCCGAGTCCACCGCTTCAAGTGGCTAACTTAGTAGGTAGAGATACAGCGCCTCTGAACTCAGGGCATATCAGCTCCAGCTCCAATCGGCAGCCAGCTCCAGGCAGTCGACGGCCCCACCACGCTCCCTCCCGCAGCAGCATGAAATCTGCAAGGGTCCCGTCCGCGCAGTGCAGCTAACAAATCTGACCTCATTGACACTTTCTCTCACTCACACCAGGAGCTCCCACAGCTCAGCTCAGTCGACTCGATCCACGCGGCGCGCAACACACGCGCCCGCCCAGTCCCAGACGCCGCTATGGTGGCCACAGGCTCGCTCTGGGCGCGACTGAGGAGCGGGGCCGCCGGGCAGACGGGCAGCCGGCCGAGCACGGCGCGGACGGCGGCGCTGCAGCTGCTCGGCTTCGTGACGTGGATCCCCGTCATCGCGTGGTTCAACCTGCACGTCGCGGAGCTGACGCTCGTCGACGGGCCGTCCATGTACCCGTTCATGAACGAGGACCGGGACTCGACGCTGCGGAGGGACGTGATCCTCAACTACAAGTGGGCGCCGCAGGAGGGGCTGGAGCGCGGCATGATTGTGACGCTGAGGTGAGTTGGGATGCTTGCCTTCCTGCCTGCCTGCTTGCTACGATCAACTACAGCCTGTGGCTTTTAGGTCAAGGGCGCGCGGCGGCTGATCAAGTATCATAGGAGTCCGATGCATCCCGAGACGGTGGCGGTCAAGAGGGTCGTGGCCGTCGAGGGCGACGTGGTGCGCACCAAGGCGCCGTACCCGGTCCCGACGGTGAGGATACCGCAGGGCCACGTGTGGGTCGAGGGCGACGGCCCGCCGGGCTCGAGCCTCGACAGCAACACGTACGGGCCCGTGTCGAAGCGGCTCCTCACGGGGAGGGTCACGCACATTGTGTACCCGTTCCGCAAGTTTGGGCCCGTGAGGTGGTGGGAGCACGAGAGGCGGCCGCTGGTGGAGTGATGGACTGGCTGCCCGCGGCCACTGTAACGATTCTGTAACAACATTGAGAGCGAGAGCGAGAGCGATGGATATACACCAGTGGACAGACGGGGCCACCATGGACAGTCAGAGCGACGCGCCCCAGGGCCAAGATTACCTACTCAACCGGACACGACCGACTCCTGTGCCATCATAGGGACGAGAACCGCGCCGGGGGTTACCACATGGCCGCAAGCTAAAAGGCGGCTCCGCCAGATAGCAAGGGAAAGGGTGTCCGGTTGCTTCAGCCAAACTCCGAGAGCAGGCGGAGTGGATGGAAGCCGCGAGAGACTGCACCATACTGGAAAACATCTTGGACGCATGTCGTACGAACAGATGTCAACTTGGATACCGAAAGCTCTGTTTCGAATGCCCAAACGCTGCGTTGAAGGCTAGTAGCAAGGGCTCGACCGACCACCGACTTGCTGGATAGAGTCATTCAAGCAATCCCAACTCAATACCCTCCCCTTCTCCGTTGATACCTCACTCCATCCCACAATCTCCGTGCTCGGCTACTCGGAGAACATCTTCTATCCGACATGTCAAGACAATACTTCATTCTGCTCTTCCTGCGCGACATGTACGCTATTTGCAGCGCCAGTTCGCGGCCACCTTGACGTCGCCCACGCCATTCCATTTCGCCATTTTCGGATACGGGCACAGCGGCCGCTGCTGCAAAACCCCAGAGCTCGGGACGTACGGCGAAGTCCAGGTCGTGGCGACAATCTCCTCGGGCGCCCGTCCCTTCTCCGTCCAGTCCATCAGAGCAAGGAGTGCATCGTGCCTCGCGTCCTTGAATCCCGGCACCGACCATGCGTCCGTACCGAGAACCGAAGCCTGCGACCACGCTGCAAAGTACCACGGCGCGTTGACGACAGTCCCCAGGCAGTGCAGCATGCCTGGAACGAGGAACAGGCGGAAGAAGTCGCCAATGCCAGGGCCCATGGCCTGCAGGGTGCGGTTGTAGTACAGCTCAGAGCCTTTGGTGGGCACGAGTCCGTCGGCGACGCCATGGTACATGAGGACTTTGCCGCCGCGCTTCTTGAAAGCGGATATGTCGTACTGCGCCGCAGTGGCACGGGAAACATCGTGCTTCTCGGCGAACTGGACGGCGCTGTCGTTGAAGCTCTGCCACGGCCAGTCTGGGTCGTTGTACAAAAAGTACCGCTGGTAGCCGACACCAAAGGGCGTCGGCGCCGTGCCGCCCAGCACCGTATACCACTGAAACTCAGAACTCAAGGTCATACCTGTGTATAGGAATTCTCCGGTACGCGAGAGCCAGTCCCCATAGATCTTCTTGACCGTCTCAATCTGGGTATTTGAGAAGCACGCCGACGGACTCAGAGCACACCCAGCGCCACACCGGAGCTTGCCAAAGTCGAAGTTGCACAGCTGAGGAGCGCTCACAATCCCGTCCAGAACACCGTCGGCCTTGTCGCACTGTCGGATCACTTCCTGCCCGATAACTGGGAATTGCATATAGTTGATGAAGCCCGGTGAGTCCGTGGGCAGGTCAAATATTCCCAATTGAGTCACGTAGTTGTTAAGATGATCCGTCTCCCAGGCAGCCGCGCCGATAAGCGCCCCGTCGAAGCTGTCCGGCGAGATCTGCACCTCCTTGAGCCCCTGACGACCTCCCGTCGAGCACCCGCTGAAGTAGGAATACTTGATAGGGCGGGCATAGTACGCCTTTGTGATGGCCTTTCCGTGTTGGACAGCGCCGTGTATGCTGCGCCAACCCCAGTCGATGCGCTTCTCCGGGGCATTGAGACCCCAAGCGAGATCTGTGGTAGTCGAGCTGTGGCCTGTATCGGTTGATGCGGTGGCAAAGCCGTAATGGGCGCCTGCAGCCTACGAGACACGACGAAAAAAGGTTATTCCGCACGTCCTTGAACATGGCCGAGGCGAGGGAGGGAGAAAGCCGGGCCAGGACTCACCATGTCCATCCAATTGATCCCACCGCCGAAGCCCCCATTTCCAACTGCCAGGAACCGCTCATTCCAATTGTCCGGGAGGAAGACCCCCACTCGGTAGGAAGACGTCGGGGAGCTGACGACCTTGAAGGTCAGCGCGCAGGAGCCTGGCAGGTTCGTGGGATTGGTTGGGTATGCAAGGTTGGCGGCGCCCTCGCCGTAGGTGCTGCCCGCGGGGAGAGAGTCGACTCGCTCGAGAGTTACGCCCTTTGGCAACTTGCATTTGAGGAACTGGGCATTGCAGCGTTGGGAGCGAAGGTCAGCGCCGGAAGGGCGAGTTGCGCCAGCCACTGTTGCCAGGATGAAGGCCGCCTGGACGAAGACGAGCAGGACCAATCTCATCTTGACCACGTATACCATCAACTATTGAGAGGCAAGTGTTGTATGGGTAGCGAAAAGGGGGGCGGACTTATACAGCACGCAAATAATCAGTCTGCAATCGACAAGCTACACAACTGCCCAGAGGATGATACCCGAACCAGCATCTTCATGGCGAAATGTCCAGTCCAGTGGGTCTCACCAAGATTTATTTATACCTGTTCTAGGACTTGACAACCCTCCAGAGCATGTCGCGTATCCCTGCCTCCATGGCAATCGCGGGGTAGCTCATGTTTTCCGACTTCATGGTCAGCAATTGCCCGGCTTCATGGTCGCAAGTGCCAGCCATGCCAGGCTGCATCTACATATCAGTAGTTGTCAACAGACGAACCATGCCCATGTCCGAGAGTGCGGGGGAAGCGCTCACGAAGTCTGGGGAAAGCGGACGGCTTAAGCCCGAAGAGGGTGTAAGTCAAAGGAGCCGGGATGGCGGGAATCATGAACGGTTCAATCGGGGGCCTCCACTCCCACGCGGCGGCATCCACTAGTCGGTCCCGGCGACGCTAGCACTTCGTCTTCCGGTGGAAGCCCGACATCCGGCTTCATGGCTGCGTTGATTAGCTTCATGAAGTCCGTTCTGCGGTCTGATACGTCTGCCATCATGATGTGCACCTTCGTCTCCCGCCTCCGATGAAGCTTGAATGCGAGTCTCTGCCCTACCAGACCCCGCCATCGCCGGACCGGTTTCTGTTCTAGGTCGGATACCGGACAAGCCTGGGGGGTTACACCTGAACTGACCGCGAATCAGTGCCGCCTGATGATCTCCGCCGGAGACAACATGCTTGCTGGCGCGGCCCCGGATTTGGATTTCCGAGCGTGCATACGCCACACACGTTAGCTGCGATGATCCCAGCGGTTGTTGGCCTGCATCGGAGAGTTCGATGTCCTCATGCGATACGACACTGGCATGGGCACCCTGCAAAAGAACTCCGTCTTCGCAAGCGACTCGGATTTCATGGTCCAAATGCGCGCAATTCATCCTCAATAGCGCCCCCTCGTCCCGCCTCGAAAGGGTCCGCTGTCGATAATTTCACCATCACTGATGAGCAATCAAGCTTTTCCGCTCAGTGCTCACCGAGGGAAAGACCACCCGTATAATACACCGACCTTTCTGCCCCTCCACTGTCCGGCTCCGGCACCGGCACTTGACAAGCTCACCCTCGCCTTGGCAAGCTCCCCCTCGCGACCCTTGCGAACATCAAATATCTTGTGCTCCTCTTCAGCATCACGCGGCACCGTCGTCATGACAAGGCAAACAGTTCCGGTTCAGCACACGCCGCTTTGGAACGCACGGCCGATGGAACTCATGGAGGCTTACCGAAGCACCTCGCGCGCATACAGCCGGCGTTCAAGCACCGCTGAAAGCGAAAGCGACTGCCCTCGCCATCAATACACGAGCAGCTCATGTGGAAGCCACCCCGATGACAGCTCACAAGATGGCTTCAGCGAGTTCTACCATGTTCAAGACGTCGCTGAAACCTGCCAACCCGAAACGAAGTCTGGACCTGGCGCGTCTAGATGCCATAGCTTGAATCTATTTGAGAATGTGGCTGTCAATGACATCTCCGACTACATCTGGCTTATTGATTATCTCGGTATGACGGACCAGGAGAGAGTGTTATTAGACTGCTATCTCCACGAGCAGCAAATCCCTGGCCACTCGAACGAGAAGCGGTACACCGAAATGTTGTCTGCTTCAACACCTACCCATGAGGTCTTATCTGAGCACGAGATACACGAGCTTTCGCAATGGATGTGGAGCACCTGGGACGATACCATAACACCGCCATATCTTGTATGAATGGGGCGTTGAGAAGATGGGATCATTGCCCGGGAATATTGCCCAAGCCGTGGCATGTTATCGCAGAGCGCGGAACATATCATGCCACAGAGTGGCACAGACATTACATAGTTCCTTTTCCCCACCCCCAGTGGTTCAATGGGTCGTCAGGCATGAGATTAAACATGACTATAATCAGGTTGTCAGCCACACGAATATTTCGCAACATCATACACGGCGTGCGTGAAGCTTACATTGACCGAAGCTGCCGAGGGCCTCATCCAGTGGCAAGCCCAGCGGCTCAGTCTCACAACCGTCGGCGCTTCCAAGATTACTGAACCCTGAGTACTGCACATCTAATTCGTCCCCCAAGTTTCTCATGCCGATGTCTTCCTGGCTCAAGGAAGCAGTCCTGTCGAGGCTCGATGGCGTCAGCAGACTTGGTATAAATGTCTCCTTGTTAGCCTCTGCATTCTCCTCGGGACCAGATTGGCTCAGATACGACTGCCTGGACGGCTGAACTCTGTCCTCAGGCGCGCTGGTCATGTGTGAGTGGTCAGGAGAATGTCGTGTGGAAGACGGTCTTTGATCTAACCATCTCCGCTCCTCTTTGAACGCCATGTCAACCTCCCGATGAAGGCTCAGCTTCAATAGATCGCTGAGCAGCCGCTCTGTATGTCGCGCAATCTGACTGTGCAGTCTAAGCTCCTTGGCCGCCTGAATGATCCGAAACACTCCTGCTTTGGCGTCTTGTGCCGTCTTACTGTTCGGGTGGCTGGTTGGGGGGATGCAGAGAATGACCCCTGCGGTGAACAGATGGATGAAGATAAAAGCCATGCAAAATTCGTTCTTAAAATCCAAAATTGGTATCTTGGATATCCGGAGTGCCGCCTTGACGGAGACATCGAATGACCTCGAGACTGTGTCCGTAAATCTCTTGGAAACGTCTTGGCAGTAGGCGGACGATAGCCTGTGCTCCAGTAGTGGCCGATGTGTAAGAATGATGGCGGCATCATAGGTGATCTGGAGCAGACACGCTTGCAGCTTGACACGGCGCAGGTCATGATTCTGGCTCTGATGGCTGTGAGAAGCCAACCTTTCTGTTGAGCAGTGTTGTGCAAAGTCACGCGACAGATTGTCACTACTCAGTAGCGGCGGAAGCGTTCTTCGCCATTCAGCGAGATGCCCTTCGATGTGATGTACGGCATCTATCAGGGACTGGAGCTCTTCGGCTGTGAGTGGATTGTGCAGCCTGAGAAGTCTGAATGTCGACAAAGTCTTCCTAATGATTTCGTATAGCTTGTACTTAAGCCAGTGAAATGTCAAGGCAGTCACGGTGCCGTCGCCAACGCCAACTCTGCCTTGGATCTGTGGCTCGGAGGAGAGATCGATGGCGGTGTCGTCCATTTCCGCGAGAGGTAGGAGATCCGAAAACGCTGAGTCGAGGGAGCCCGGTCGCCCGTAGATCTGGGAGGCGAAGGTGTCGGCCACGGTGAGGTGGTTCCAGCACCGTCGACGGATCTGCGTGGCTACGCGATCGTCTGTCTCCGAAGCGCAGTGCAGCGCCAGAGCGTACGAAGCTCGCACAGAGAGGCCAATAGTTGCCCAGGCCAGGCTTGGCGAGCCATGGAATATGTAGAATGCACCGAGAAGCAGGGTTACCTGAACCGTCTCGATACAGTTGTCGTCGAGGAGGTCCAGGAGATGAAGTCGCAACTCCGCTATCATTTGGTCCATTAGGCCTCGCGGGTCGGGCGAAATCGATGCGAGTAATTGTTGGCCATATGGCGATGTATCCTGCAGTGCGCATTTGAGACCGAGGGCAGCGACTGTCAGGGTGACGAGAACCTTGCTCATATCCTCCCGTCCCCACGACGCCATGGAGAGAATCTGTCGAGCTTGTTCCTCGAATGACGGCTTGTGAAATATCCAGATGAACCAGTGTAGTCTTTCGAAGTACACATCAATCAGCGCCTCTACCACTGGCGTGGCCGGCATTGCCATGGTCTGCAAGGTCCATGGCGGACTGCGCGGTGATCCCGGCTGCGACGCGTCGCCTGGAATAGCGGAGGTCTTTGAAGGCGCGCTGGTTCCCAAGTTCTTGTATATGTTCATAGCAAGTGAAATCGCAGATCTGTTGGCGCCGAATTGTTGGGCAGTTTCGGGAGACCCGCCTGCCGGCGCCATTGTCGCGAGGCCATCACCACTCGGTGCAGTGCGCTGCTCTTCAGGTCTCGAATTATTTGGAACAACCCTAGGGCGTCTTCTAGTCCTTGACAGAACTGACCCGTCGCCGCTTCCAGCGGTCTTGCGGGGGATGAGCCGGTCTCTGGGCGCCGACCTTGAGACAATTCGAGGTCGGCACTCGACGCCCGAGCGCACGCACATGATGCATGGCTTCGTGGCATCGCACTTTGCCCGCAGTCAGCTCTCATACGCCATTCTGAAATGTAAATCAAGGCTCCTAACCTTGAGTTTCTGCTGACGACAGCGCGCGCACGCAGCCGAGACCCGGCTAGTAGACGGAGCGTGAGCTCTGGGGCGATCGAGTCCGTCCTGGCCAATGGCCTCCATGCTCACGGATCGGAAGTAACGAAATGGAGGAATGGCATTGAGCAGCCTGGAGCCGATCGGGGTTGCGGCGGAGGCGAACCAAGGTTCCGATGAACGGGAGATGCGGTGGAATGTTGAGGTGCAAGCCGGGGTGCCGTTGAAGTAGGTAGGTTGCGGTGGATGAAAGTGTGTTGTACTGCGCTTGCCAAAAACCAACGTCTTCCACCGGAAGCTGCTTGATTCGCCACGAGCAGGACGAGCAGGGGTAACTGAGAGATGGAAAGTGTTAGTTCACCCCGCGATTTGGCTGCTCCAGGGTCAGAGACTTCCGTCTGCGGGGTACGACCTTTTTCTGGCCAGTTTCATTCTTTGGGCATGTACTCGTAATGTAATACTGTCATGGCTTCGCAGTAAGTGGCGTCGTGGGGGTTCCGGTGGATGCTTGGTCCTCGGTTCAACGAAAGCCAACCCCGCAAGCCACACGAGCCTAGGTGCCTCCACGGGTGGGTGACACTATTGGTGCGATGTCTTGGAGACTCGGACGGCAACAACTTGGCCGGCCGCAATTGCTCCGTGGCGGTCGCTTTCTTACCAATTAGCTTCACATTGGCACGGAAATCGATCTCCCAACTGAGTAAACGGTCTGGTAGAGCGTGTTCGACGCTGGCCTGTCATCTTAAATCGTTGATGCTGATCACAGGCTAAACAAATGACTTCAATGGCAGTCATGGCTCCAGTGAGTTCTGAGACGCTGTGAAGTTGAAGTCGTACCAAATCTATTTCTAAGTTTAAGGAGCTGTGTAGAGGGAGGCCACAGCTCTCTCGGTATGGTACAAACAGCGGTGACATGCTCATAGTCTTGCCATGGGCTGCACTTGCACCGAAGTGGCCTTGTGCTGATCCCGCAGGAGCCTCCTCAATATCTTCCCGCTCGGACTTTTGGGTATCTCTGCAACAAACTCCACGCCACCCCGGAGCTGCTTATGCTTCGACTTGTGTCGCGCGACCCAGTCCAGAAGCTGTCGTTCAGCCGTTTCGAGGCTCACATTTGAGTCCCTACTCAGCACAACGAGAGCCTTGGGGACTTCTCCGGAACGGTCATTGGGTACCGGAATGACCGCGCAGTCTGCCACCAGCGGATGACCCAGTAAGTGTCCCTCCAGCTCTGCGGGTGCGACCTGGAAGCCCGAGACTTTGATCAGCTCCTTCACGCGGTCCACGATGAAGAGATGAGCGTCTCCCGTCTCGGGATGCAGCCGGAACTCCCCCACGTCGCCACTTTTGAGCCAGCCGCCGCCAAAGGTTTCCCGAGTGGCCTTCTCGTTCTTGTAGTAGCCCATCGCAACATTGGGGCCTCGAACCCAGACCTCGCCCCTTGTATCGGTCTCTTCCACGTCATTCCCATCGGCATCGATCAGCCGGACTTCGAGCCCCGGAACGATGCACCCGCTGGAGCCGTCGTACACTTCTTTAGGGTGCTGGGAAATAACGGTCGAAGCCTCAGTCATACCGTAGCCTTGGCCCAAAAGCACGCCCGGGTAGCGTTGTCTTATCTGCGATGTGAGCTCCTCAGACAGAGGTGCGGCTCCGCAAAACATTCGCTTGACCGAAGGCATGTCGAAGAACGAGGCATCTCTAGTGTGGTTGCTTTGCTTGGTGAGAGCAATAAGTATGGGAGGAACCACGTATAGTAGACTCATTTGGAATCGCTTGACGGCCGATACCAAGTTCAGGAGCTCAAACTTGGCCATTGTGACGACTGTGTCGCCACGGAAAACTGGTAGATGAGTGGTCATAATGATCGAGTAGATGTGAGATTGCGGCAACACACCGAGGATGACGTCCTGGTGGGATGATGGCCGAAAGGAAGACTCAAGAAGAGTTACCTGGATAACATTGGCAATGATATTCCGATGGGAGATCATTACACCCTTGGGTGGGCCAGACGTGCCGGATGAATAGCAGAGGTATGCTGGCTGTCGTCGGGCGCGACCCTTTTGCCACTTCACGCGAGGAAGGGGAGGGAGACGGCGCCCAGCATCAATCAGGTCTTCAACGTTGAGAAGTCTCTGTGTCGTCCCCGTGATTGGTGTCGTGTCTCCCGGGACAGGAATCAAGAAAACCTTGGAATCAGGAATTCCAGCTTGTCTCGCGGCCTCAAGGGCCACCTCCAAGTGAGACGGGTCGGTGAACAGGCAGCGCGCTGCCGAATCCTTGAGCTGGTACGCCAGCTCTGATGCCCTGAAAGCCACATTGACCGGAGCGACAACACCGTTGAGGCGATGGATGGCCCAGGCAAGGACAGGGGTATGGATCTATCAGTGAGGGCCTTGTCAGCATTATTCGTAACATGAAAAGTGAACAGCTTACATTGTTGACGGTGAACAGGCCAATTACGCGCCCCCAGTGATCTCCTGTCACGTCTTCGATTCCCAGTTGACTGGCAAGCCCTGCAGCAAGCCATTCGATGCGTTGTCGCGTCTCCTGAACGCCATGACCGCTCCCATCGACAGAGTCAATGAAAGGCGGAGGTGAGTCTTGGCACTTTCGAGGGCGATGTCGGTCGTCAAAGAGAAAGTCGGCTAGAGAGAGGTCGTCCGGGATGTCGGCGTCTGTAAGGCGAGGCGCCCAGGCAGGGGGGTGGAAGCCCATCTTACAGGCTGTTGGACACGCAAGGGGCAAGATCAATGTTGCGAAACGCGAAACTGCTCAAAAACCGACTGGCCAAGACGAGATCAATATTGGGCTCAATACTCGTACGATGTTAACCGGTGCCCAACGCCCTCATATACGAAAGGTCGGGGTTCATCGGCGTGCCCAGTGCCAACTGCCAACTCCCTGCCGGTGGAACTAACATGACAGCAGCTTCCGGTGTCGGGTCTGGAGCCGTGCACCATGCAGCTTCCGATGGGGCAGGAACATTGTTCCCCGGATTATTCCCCAGAATTGACAACGTCCTTATTCCGCGGTCCGCGAATTATTTCCGTGTGAGATGAACGTGGCTGAAGCGCTAGGTGACTTGGCAGAGGGTCCCTCGGGCTTGGTGGCTTGACGATAAACGTGAACGATGCCGACGGCCAAACTTCCACCGGAAGTGGGGTTGACCACGATCCGGCAACCACTTTCTCGGCAACGAACGTCAATGATGTCTTGCCGAGTGCCAGCTATATGACGGGACTTCCTCCCCACGGGGTAAATATGGGTATCCCCACGATCTGCGCATCGAATCCTACCAAGTACGCAGTCAATCACATCTTTCTCGCCAGCGTGGACCAAACACAATGGGCGAGCACAAGGCCGCCGAATCTGCCGTCATGACGCATGACGAGAAGCCAATTGCACGCAACGACGATGGCCTGCCGCCTGATGTTGCGGCGTTGATGCAGGAGTTTACTGGGGCCAAGTACAACAAGCTTATGCGCAAGTTGGATTTGCACCTGATCCCTATTGTGAGTTTTACACGCGACTTACGTGGGCTTTGTCCTTGCCATGGGAGCTGATGGTTTGGCTATTTGTAGATCGCTCTGTTATACCTCCTTGCATACTTGGACCGGTAAGTCACCACATACGCAGGATTGCATGTCAAAGCTGACCAGAGGCAACGCCAATAGTGGCAACATCGGAAACGCAAGACTGGCGGGACTGGAAAAGGACCTGAACATGAAGGGTGAACAGTACAACATTGCATTGACAATCTTTTTCGTTTCCTACATTGTCTTTGAGGTGCCGGCGAACATGGCCCTGAAATATCTGTCACCTCGAACATGGAGTAAGTTTTTCAGTCGTTCAGTGTCCATCCAGATGAAGTGAAACTAACCTCAATGATAGTTCCCTCAATTACCGTTTCCTGGGGTATTGTGATGACCCTCATGGGCATCGTCCACAACTATGAGGGGCTACTAGCTGCACGATTTTTCCTTGGAGTTCCCGAGTCTGGCATCTTCCCTGCGGCGGCCTACTACATCACCATGTGGTACACCAGGCACGAGGCCATGTACAGAACGGCCTTGTTCTACGCTACAGCATCTCTTGCGTAAGCCAATTACCTTCCCTCTTTACCGCAAGTACTAACACCAACTTAGAGGCGCATTCTCCGGTCTTCTTGCCTATGCAATCACGCTGATGGACGGCATTGGCGGGCTTGCCGGCTGGCAATGGATCTTCATCCTCGAAGGCCTCCTCACTGTTCTAGCCGGAGTCCTCGCCTACTTTGCAATCTTCAACGGCCCAGACTCAGTAGCCTGGCTGACAGAAGAGGAGAAGCAGTACCTCAAGGTGAAGCTCGCCTATGATGGGAACAGATGGGGCAAGGGCACGCAGGAAGAGGGATCGAAGAGAAAGTACATCAAGGAAGCTTTCCTCGACTGGCAGGTGAGTGCATTCCCTTACCCTTTAACTCTCAGGATTCACTAACGCCGTTCTTGTCAGATCTATCTGAGCGTCGTCATCTACTTGGGTATTTCAGTGTCCACGTACGGACTCGTCTTTGGTCTTCCCACAATCATCTCAACACTTGTAAGTCCGTCCGATCCAGTAGCGACAGAATCTAGACATCTAATTTTCGGCGTCATTTAGGGATACTCGGCGAGGATTGCACAGCTCATGACCGTCCCACCTTACGTCGCGGCTTGCATCCTCACCATTGCCGTAGCGCACTTCTCGGACAAGCTCAAGAAGCGCGGCTACTTTATTGCAGGCTCCTTGGTCGTGTCAGTCATCGGCTTCATCATGGCGATCACGACATCTAATAACCCTGGTCTGGCTGGAGTCACTTATGCTGGCTGCTTTCTCGCCTGCTGCGGTTTCTTCCCCGCGTTCCCGGGCGTGATTTCGTGGCTTGCGAACAACCTCGCCGGCCCGTACAAGCGTGCCATCGGCATGTCTCTACAAATTTGTGAGTCAGCTTCTTATAACGTCGTATCCGCTTGCAAAGAGTTTTCATGGGCTTGAAGCTAACGAGCATTCCCTGTCACAGCTCTCGGCAACACAGGAGGCCTCATTGGGTCCAACATCTACCTTGCCAGAGAGAAGCCGCACTACCGCCTGGGTTATGGAATTTCCATTGGCTTCATTGCGTGTGCCATCATCGCCACAGCTGTCATGTGGTTCACGCTCACTACCATCAACAGAAAGCGCGAGCGCTATGTCGAGGACAACGGCGGAGTGGAGGGGATTGTGGAGAAACACGGGGATGTCACTCTCACCGAGATGGGAGACCGCAGCCCTCTATTCCACTACACTCTATAATAATACAGGATTTTGCGTTGTCGGTAACAACGGTATATTTAAGCTTGGTGCTGACGGCAGCGTAGTATTGTGCGTGAGATCGTCGCCTTTGGCTCGTGCTAGGGCTGATGTCTGGTCGTCATTGTTCGTCCGTAAGCAAGCATGTAAGTTACCGCGACCGCACCAAGTACATGTAGACACTCGATCCAGCGGGCGTCCAGCAGGCCAACTGCACCTCCAGCGCCCCAATTTTGACTCCCTCAGAGGCGAAAACGTCAAGTATCGGAAATATTGTTCGCACGGCCGTGGCCGCGCCAACCCCGTGATCGCTTGCTTGTGGTGTGAGCGAGTGAACTGCACATGCGAAGACGCATGGGGATGCCACGGCGTCAGCCTGAGAATTGAGTGGTGTAATAGGCGTGGGCTGAGGGCCTGGACCACGGATTCAGCTGACGCCGTTGGCTTCGCGACATCCGTACAATAATGCATCTACACACGTACATAAGCCCAAGAGCAACGGCTGCCGCTGTCTCACCGGAGGCTGCAGGAAAACGGCGGCGCAGATCCTCCTCTGGAGTCTGGAACACGCATGCATAGCGCCTCCACCACCACCGCAAGACTGGAATGCCCCGTCCTTCATGATGCGTTGGGCCCCATCTTCTCTTCCTCCCTTCTCTCCCAACTCCACCTGATGAACACAAGAAATCGGCAGAAGACGTCATGATGCTGCTGCTAGCCCTCGGGATCCACAAGCTGCTGCTCGGCGTCGCGTCCGCCGCGGCGGGCGGCCCAGTCTTCGGCATACCCGCGCCGCTGGAGCGCCGGAGCGGCGACATCATCCGGGAGCTGGGGCCGCTGCTGTCCAAGGACGCGACCATTGTGTTGCCCTTGTCGCCAGACGCGGAGCCACTGCTCATCCGCGCGGCTACGCCTCGTATCTCGCCCAACTACTTCGCCATTGTCGAGGTCGCGACGGAGCAGGACGTCCAGCAGACAGTAAGACTGAACGTGACATTGAGAAGGTGTACCTGAGCTGATTTATCGCGAAGATCAAGTACGCCAACTTCCATGAAACGCCGTTTCTGGCCGTCTCGGGCGGCCACGGCTGGCCGACGACGCTCAATGGCGTCGAGGCCGGCATCCAGATCAACATGCGCAGAATGAATCACACGACACTCAGGAGGGACGGGCGTACCGCCAGCATTGGTGGTGGCGCCTTGCAGTACGAGGTCATTGCCGCGCTGTTTAGTCAGGGCAAGCGAGCAGGTACGTCAAGCCATAGCTCCTTGGGATGAGTGTTTTGGCTGACCAGGGCGGGCAGTCATGGGCCTTTGCGAGTGCGTCTCGGCCATCGGTCCTCTCCTCGGCGGTGGGCACAGCATGATCCAGTGGCGATACGGCTTCGCGGCCGATAACCTCGTCTCGGCACGCGTCGTCCTCGCCGATGGAAGGGCCGTAGATGTGGCGGCAGACAAGAACAGCGACTTGTTCTGGGGTCTGCGCGGCGCTGGTCACAATTTTGGCGTCGTCACGAGCTTCGTCGTCAAGGCTTATAACGCGGGCGATCCGTGGACGCTGATCACCCTCACCTTCACGCAGGATAAGCTCGAGTCCTTCCTTGAGACGTGGAACACGCTCGAGGAGGTGCATCCTGACCGTGGCATGCTGGTGGTCAACGGCATCCTGGCCAGGAACAACGACGTAGACTCTGAACATGTGAGTATCCTCAACAGTGGTGGCTTACAGATGAGAACTGTGTGCAAGTGTATGAGGCTGACGGAGCCCACCAGCCAGTGATAAACCTGCAGCTCATCTACGAAGGACGCAACGATGCAGCAGATCTCTACGCGGCGGCTTTCCGCAAGCTCAACCCGGCAGCTGAATTGACGACCGAGGACATTCCCTGGGGCGATCTCTTCACAGAGGGCGGCTTCGGACTCTCGGGGCCGATATGCCGCAAGAACCAGAACATCCTGGGCTATCCCAACTCGCTGGACAAGTGGGACGCTGGTGCGATGCGCGCCGCGTTTGGCATCTTCTCGGACCTGACGTCGGAGGCGGCGTTCGCGACATCGGCCATGCTGCTCGAGTCGTACGGCCAGCAGGGCGTGCGGGCGGTTCCTGAGGGGAGCAACGCAGTTGCACCCGAGGAGCGGCGGCGGCACCTGCTCACGTCGCCGATCCTGTGGTGGGTGGGAGACGACGCGGCGACGAGGAAGAAGGCTGAGGACTACGGCTCGCGCATCCAGGCGGCCGTGAGGAAGGGCGCTGGGTCGGCGGAGCCTCACGCGTACGTCAACTATGCGACCGGGCGCGAGGGCTTCGGCGAGGTGTACGGGCATGAGGCGGCGAGGAAGTCCAGGCTGAGGGCGCTGAAGGAGCGGTGGGACCCGCACGGGCGGTTTGGGTTCTACATGCCGATTGAGGTCGGGCGGCAGCCGGTCGCTGCTGGCGAGATTTGATTGAGGGAAAAGCTAACGGCGTGTGTTGAGGTATTTTCTATGTGCGTGGGAAAAGGAGTTGGTGAGGCAGAGTGCGAAGTATCAAAGTAGCTTCCTATGCTGTAATGAAGACGGAGAGAGTGCCTGGAGGCCGCTAACGGGAGCGCTGGAGAGCTCCCACTGAGAGCCGAGCCTGAGAGGCACCAAGACGCCACGCACGGACCAGCCGCGTCCGCCGCCGCCGCCAGCGGGCTTCGGGTCCCACCAGGTTCCCGTCCTTCGTCATTGGGCGCCGCTCGGGGATAATGTCGGAGAGAGCGACAAAAAGTTCTGCCTCACAAATCCTCACCAGACCTCACCACCACACCTCGCATACTGCGCATGCTGCCACCACTAGCAGCATTTCGTCCCATCAATCGTTTAGTATCTTTCCCGCCTCCTCTGCTTCCTTTGCATCGATAGACGGCGCCCATCCCCAGTAGCGACTTGCCGTTGTCGACGACGCCATTTCTTTTGTCGCCACCCGATTTCCGTTTGACGAGCAGCACGCGACGCCCGCCGCTTTCTCCCTCTCGTCCGACGACACTCCTCCGCGCCTCGCGAGACCCCCATTCCACAATCGACCGTGCCGATCTGCTCGACGAACAACGGGCCAGGAAATGCCCCTGGCCTCCCAACTCTCCTCCCTCTTCTCAGCCGGCTCCCCGTCTGCGTCGAGCGCCGCCTCGCCGGCGACCCCGGACACGGACAGCGTCAGCCCCGGCGCCGTCTTCGCCCCGGACCCGTCCTGCGCCCCTCGTCATGCTGGGCTCGTCCCGCACGGCCAGTCGGGGACCAGCGACAGAGGCTCCGGCTCGGGCGCGGCCATGAAGTCCGAGGACATTGAGGTCGAGGGCCGCCCGCCGTATCTCCATGTCAGTAATCCCTCACCGACTACCCGCAATTGGTAGCAAGTCTCACTCGCGCGCGAATTATGCGCTGACATTCAGCTTCCCAGGCTATGATTGCTGGCGGCATAGGAGGATCGACGGGTGATCTGCTCATGCACTCGCTCGACACGGTGAAGACAAGACAACAGGGCGACCCCAACATCCCCTCCAAATACACATCCCTCGGCCGATCATACTACACAATATGGAGGCAAGAGGGCATCAGGAGAGGTCTGTACGGAGGCTGGATCCCTGCCCTTGGGGGTTCATTCCCGGGTACGGTGCTCTTCTTTGGCACGTACGAGTGGAGCAAGCGCTTCCTCATTGACCACGGCCTGCAACACCACTTGTCATATCTCTCAGCTGGTAGGCTCCCCTCACGCGGACTTTCTCCTCCTCGACACTGACACCTTGAAAGGCTTCCTCGGCGATCTGGCCGCGTCCATCGTCTACGTCCCCTCCGAGGTCCTCAAGACCCGCCTCCAGCTGCAGGGCCGCTACAACAACCCGCACTTCCGCTCCGGCTACAACTATCGCGGCACCGTCGACGCCGCCCGAACCATCGTCCGCACCGAGGGCGCCTCGGCTCTGTTCTACGGCTACAAGGCAACACTCTACCGCGACCTGCCCTTCTCTGCGCTGCAGTTCATGTTCTGGGAGCAGTTTCACGCCTGGTCCCGCGTCTACAAGCAGAGCCGCGACATCGGCGTACCACTCGAACTCCTCACCGGTGCCGCCGCTGGTGGCCTCGCCGGCGTCATCACTTGTCCGCTAGACGTCGTCAAGACCCGTCTCCAGACGCAGGTCAACACACCGGTCGACCACGCGACCCGGACCCGCGATGTGACGCCGCAGAAGCGCCACATCTCGACTTCGTCGCCGAGCACGCACCGCCCGCAGCCCGGCGCCATCGCGCTCGAGACGTCATCCGTCATCACGGGCCTCAAGGTCATTTACCGAACCGAGGGCATTGGCGGGTGGTTCCGCGGCGTCGGCCCCCGCGGTGTGTGGACGTTCATCCAGAGCGGTTGCATGCTCTTCCTGTACCAGCGGTTACTGCACGAGTTGGAGATCCGCATGCCGCTGGCCAAGGAGGAGCCCTAGACTCTACTCCATTGGGACTAACTTTGTTGTTTGGGATAGATGGCGATTGGAACATTGAAAGACGAGACGACCTCGTCGTGTACAAATAAAGCAAGAGCAAAGACTACGTGTACGAAGAGAGAAAGAGGATGCCCCGTGTGGGTGGACAACGGACATCATTGTTTGGCGTTGGGGGGCTGACTAGACGAATGGGTACACTTTGGGCGGCGAGTTGGGCCCGCGGCGAACATATAGACACATGGACGGAGTGTCCCTGCACCAACTCGAATGTTTTAATATTTCATGAGAACCACTATCTGCGAGTCTTCCATTCCTGAATGAAGTTGTGTAATCATCACGTTCAGTGCCTACGAGGGTGAGACGCACGACAGGCACGACGGGCAATCGAGGCACAACTCTGCCCTTGCGAATAGTACTCCACATGTTTCAACATTTCAAACCTGTCCACACTAGTTGAGCCGCACAAAAGTCTCAAGACACAGAGAATCCACAAACAAGACAAAGGGGGTATATCAAGCCACGCAGCCGCAGCCAAGGCGACGAACCGACGCCGAAAAAAGTCGCTCGAAATGCAGTACGCAATCGACCCCCGTCCTCAGGCGTCGGGGTCGCTCTCCTCGGGCATGTCGGCCGTCTCAAAATCGTCGAGGCGCGTCATGAGCTCGTCGCGCGCCAGGCAGACGACGAGGGCCACGGTCAGCGCGTTCCAGACGCTCTGATGGCGGTCCATGAAGTGCACGTCGACGTGAAAGCTGACGTATGCGTTTTTTCCGTCCTTGGCGGAGTCGACGGTGAGGATGAAGACCGAGGTGCGCAGGATGAAGATGCCGTAGACGACGGGTGGGCGGCGGCGGAACTGCCACAAGTCGAGCGTCTCGGGGGGTGGTGTTGCGCTGTCTTCGACAGACTCATGCAAAGGTGACTGCTCATTAACCCGAGGGCCTAGAACCGACTGCGCAACATCACTTTCTTCGGTAGGAGCATGGCCTGCATTTGTCGCCGTCTCGTCATCGGATCTGGTTGCAGGATCCTCCTCGGCAGGCTGCGATCCCTCCTCCTCGGTCTCCTCGTCGTCCAGCATATATTTCTCCAGAAGCAGCTCCACATCAGTCAGACTTGGGCTGGACAGTCGCTGTTCGTCGACGTTCCAGAACTCAGGATCGCGGTCAACCTTGAGAAACTCCCGCTGAACTTTGGCAAAGGCCCGCATGCGCTGCTGAATGTGTCCCGTGATGTCGGCTTCCGTCTCGCCCGCATCAGTGTTCTCAACGATGATGTTTGGGATGTAGTTGAGCGTGCTGTAGCCGCCGTCTTCGGCCGCCCAGGTGACAAAGTGGTTGATGCCCTTCTTGATGAGCGCTGGGGCCTTTTGTCGCAGGCCGGACTGGCATGTCGTCCGGACGCTGGCCGTGAGATCGATGAGCCTCAACAGCGCCATCGTTGCTGCCTGAATGTCAGTGGAATCCCTGAAAGATGGCGCACATCACACGTACCACGAAACTCCTTGTTGGAGTGGGCGTAGATAATGGGCGGGTAGTCGTCCGACGTCTGGAAGACGCTGTCCGCCATGGGCACGCCGCGAAAGTCGACATCCCAGTGCGCGGGCAACATGGGAAGATCTTGACGGAGAAACAAAATCTCAAACAGCTTTTCCTCTGGCGCGGCCCACGTGCTCGCGCCCGGGTACAGCTGCTTCTCTGTCTCCATCTGCCTGATCAACTCGGCGTTTCGCTGCGCCGCCCGATGGTCATCGCCATGCTTCTTGGTCATTTCGAGAGAATAGACGGGCGAATCCTCGGATGCTTGCGAGACGGTCTCGTCGTTTTGTTTGATGTTCCTGCGCGGAGTCACGTCCTGGACAGCGACGTCGTGCGGCTTAACATCGCCAGATTGGCTGCTGCGAACCCGCGAGGGCTTAGGGGTCTCATCAGGGTCGGCTTCAGCCGGCGGAGAGCTGAGGGAGCCGGATGTATTTAAAGACAGCTCGGACATGTTGCCGGGGCCGCGGCACGGCTCGTGGTGTGACGCAGCGGGAGGGATGAAGGAGACAAAGCGTCTATGGGGAGCGGGTTCGGGGAGGTCGTGCGTTGTTGGGGGCGCGGGTGCGCGCAGGTGGCTTGCATTGAACGGCAGCAGGGGGCAGCCGGCAAATGCCCTGCCATCCTGGGGCGACGAACAGCGGCAATGTTCTGCAGCCCACACAAGCTCCGCACAGATCTACCAGCATTTGCTGCCACGGACTTGCATCCAAGGCCATATGTATATACTGAAACGCGAGGCACAAGGCGTCTGTCTGCAGCGGCTTGGTGCCGTTGGCGGGGTGCGTTGTGCGCTGAACAGCCTCCTGCCGTTTCCACAGAGTGCGGCCAGTCCTTCGCACCTTCCTCACTTATACGCACCGCTACGGGGAGATCAGGCACCCAGGCAACGAACGTCGAGTGAATGAATGGGAGCACATCTCGAAGGCCTTGGCGGCACTTCTTCCACTTCGGCTGGTGAATCCTCCTTCGAGGCCCTACGAGCACTCTCCGTTTTCATCATTTCGTTTCGCCGTCGTCTGCCGATGCCCTCTGTTACCCACGCCGGGTCGCAACACGTAAGGTAAGAATGTGAACCAGACTCCCAAATCACTGAACTAACAACTGGAGCAGACAACGGCGGCAATGCCTTTGCAATCTCTCCCCACCGAGATACTCGGTATGATCCTACGGTCTATCGACTTTCCGAAGGATCTGGACGCCGCTGTGAGAGCCTACTCGACATGGTTTCGCATTTTCCACACAGCTCCGGTCCGAACTCTGTCGGAAGTGCTGAGAAACAGCGTCCACCCAGCCATCATCGGCGACATCATTGTCGCTTCCAGATGTCCAAGGAGGAGCACATGGCGTCGTTCGAGCACTCCCAGCTACCTTCGCGCATACAGCGCAGAAATGGCGACGTTTACGGAGGACTTCCTCCAGGGCCAGCCACACCTAAGAAGATTTCCGGAGTACATGCCGGGGCTTACGCGCCTAAGCAAACTCATTATCCGGATATCATTGCTGGTCGACGACTTCTTCCACCGCGCATCCGTGACCCTGGCTAGGCCACTCAGTGGATGTGTCAGTAATTGTGAAGATGGCGAGAGCTCCGCGCCAGTTCGGCGAGAATTTGACACTTTGTCTCGCACCGAGCGCGCTCGTTTGCAGCGGGCAATCGTGAAACTCGAAACATACATCGAAATGTTTTCCTTCCCAACCCTACGCCGTTATGAGCAGTGCAAACAATTTCTCCAGAACTTGGACCCTTGGGAGGTTGAGGAGATGAGCTGCGTTTATCACCACTTTGTTCAAAAGCTGGGTAAAAAAGTCTGCGAAGAGCAAAACAAACTGGCTGACAGAGTTTTGAGCCATCCTTTGACAGGAGTCGACATCGACGATGAAGTGCTGGTGGCAACTGAGTGCGGAGACGGATTCTCCATTCGAAGCGTGAACTCCCAGAAGAACGAGATGGCCACCTTCGAGCCTGGTAAAGATCACAGCTTGTTTTTCTTTTCCAGGGATTACAACAGCAGCAAGCTCGCCCATTTCGATGGCATAATATCGCGGAGCATGGGCAACCTTTGGGATCTCTGCGTCAAGCTTGAGCAAGGCGGCGAGTCGTGCCGTTTTCGGAGAAGAACAGGAAGCATATTTGCAAGCCTTCCGGAGACCATAGACCGCTTGGCGTCCCCACTGGTTGATACCGTGCGACCAAAGCTTTCCGACTTCACGGATCATCCGTCACAGCCGAACATGGGCTACTACGCCTTCAAGCGCTCCGCGAATGAGAGTTATCTTGGCGTCTACAGATCGGATTCTTGGGCTATCCGCGCAATGGGGTACGTCTTTTGGGATCTGGACAGGTTGCGCCAGCCGGTAGTTTGGGCCAAGCTGAGAGAGGCTAGTAAGATGACTGGAGATCACGCCAGGGCGGCGTACGACCCGTCGTTGCATACAAGCGCGGAGGAGAAGCTGCGGGGCATTCGAGTCTCGGTACGGCTGATGGAAGAACTCAGTGTGGAGGAGTATCGAGACCGCCGCCCTTCATCTTACAACCGGATCCCCCTCGTATGAGGGCCCTGGCCTTGTGCGTCTGAGATGCGTCTTTGGGGCACTCACTGGCACCGACTGGCATGTCGACACGACGGCAGGAGCGACAATATAATCATGGGGGCAAAGAGGGATACTTGCTTGATCTTTTGGCCGTTACGTCGTAGCTTCATATATCCCGAATGCGATGTTGTTGCAACAGAAAGTATTCGTTCTCCACAGGAGCAAGTCGAAGCGGCGCTCATGCTGATATTGGGGTTGAGAAATTGCCTTGATTTGATAATTGATCGGTACCCAGGCTCTTTTGGAAATCATAAGAAAAGTAGCGTCTTCATTTGCTCGCGCATGGGCGGTGATAGCACCCGATGAGGGATTGCAGCGTAGGCGGGACGTCAAAGTACAATGTTAGCTGGGGCTCGCATAGTACGGTAGCAAGCCATCATTGTTTGCCTTCCTTAACTCGCGTAGAGCATGGAGGCCGTTCCGCTAGTTTCGCAACCCTAACGGAACAAAGACCGCGCACTTGCCAATGCCCACATGCTCAGCCGCCACGTCGAGACCTTGCTCCCAGTCTTCCAGCGCGAAAGTCTTGACATCGGCAAAGTCCTCGCCCCGAGGGAACAGACCGCTTTCCATCATTTTGACAAACTGCAGAATGTCTGCCCTCTCGTACATCATTTTGCCTAGTACGGCGAACGTCAGCATTGTCGCAGCGTAGAGGAGCGAGGTTCTACTTACCCTTCAGCGTGATGCTGTTGACCAAGATTTCGCCAGCCCCAATGTTCTTGGTAGAGCCCATCAGGCTGATCCTCCCGCCGAGTCGCAGAGCCCTGATTGCGCTCTTGGTGTGCGTTGACGCGGAGGCGGTAGAGGGTGTCAAGTCGAGCACAGCGTCAATGGTGCCGAAGCCTCGCAGGGTTTCGAGGTCCTTGTCTTCGTCTCCCGCAATGACAGCCGCGTCGAAGCTGGCGCTCGGCCATGTCTTTTGCACATGCTCCTCCAATTTGGCCAGCTTCTCAGTGCTGCGCCCCATGGCTATTACTTTGGCTCCCATAGAGACGGCGACTTGCACAGCGGCGCCGCCGTACCCGCCCGTCGCTGGGCAGATGACAATGGTCTCACCAGGCTCGAGCCCGATATCTCTCAAGCCACCGTACGGGATGAGCAGGTACGCCAGGTACATGAGCTGTGGGATCGAGTAATTGAGCTCCTTGCACAGGCGATCTTCGTTCAGTGGAATGCAGTTCTCCAGGGGGGCCTTCATGTACTCCGCAAACGAGCTGTCGCGCCACACGTGTCGCATCAGGTACTTGCTTCCGTCCGTGAATCCCTCAATAACGCCCGACAAGAAAGAGTCGTGCGGATTGTCGCGGGCGTGTATGACACTGTCCACGTACACGAGCTGGCCCGGCTTCAGTGTCACGGCATCGTGTCCAACAGCCGCAATGCGTCCGATGGCGCCGAACCCGCCGACCAGAGGCGTAGGGACCGGGTAGTGGCGGATGACCTGCTGGTAGTAGGGTAATATGCAAGTGGCCTCAATTCGAACAACTGCGCTGCCGGGCCCGGGTTGTGGTGTGGGAATTGTCTTCAGCTCCAAGCCAGACTCTCGATTCTCGAGCACGAGAGCCCGATGCTGGTCAGGGATGGATTGCATGATGGATTGTGAGAGGTGTTGATGCAGAAAATGTGAACTTGGGTGTTGAATGTTGGGATGGACGGACTGTAGTGGCATCGGGCCCCCCAGTGTTTTAGTCTTTATAAGTGCCGTCGTGAGTGCCGCAGCAGGGACAGCCTCGGGGATATCGGGCGCGTGTCGCTGGTGTCGCGTAATGGGGCCTTGGTCGCGCCAAGCTGGACTGGAGATGGACTCGAACTCTTCTCCGCAACACATTCCGCACGACCTCTCAAGGTGCCCATGCGCTGGTCACAGAGCCACGATGTTGATTGAGACCTACCAGCTATCCCTTGGGCAGTGTGAAAAGTCGGATCCGAACCGGTTGGAGAGATGTCGGGCGACACGTATTGGAGGAATTTGCCTGATAGAACCCTTGGCTAGCCAAGCAAGCAGGCGGGTCTCGGAAGTACCAGCCATCGTCGACAAAGTCTCGCGGTGTCCCGGATCATCAGGCGTCACTACAACCATTCTGAGAAAGACCGCTTCGATGTCATCGCCAGTAACAGTCAACTCAATGTGCGAGCGCCATTCGCACTGTCGAAGGGATACGCGGCTCAAACGTTCCGATCCGGGGACCAACCTTCTCCCCGAAGGGGCTGCGGCTCTGCGGAACACTTTACGAATTGGTTACTTTGTACAGCTGGCCGATGAGGTCCGGTTCGTGGGGCTTCTCCACCAAGCGCTTCCGCATTCCAGAGTCCGCCTTCTCTAGTCCGCACTCCGCATGTCGTCGGCGTTAGCCGCTCCGAGTCACCTCAATGGCCTGCTATGCCGGCCGAAGTGCTGGGTTGGCTCTGCGCATCCATTCGGATTGCGAACCGCTATGGAGCGTTTCCTACTATAGTAGGTCATCCTGCTGAAGCAAAACTGTTTCACATTTCGCAACCTAGTTACAGCATGTGAAAATATTGTGACGCCTCCACCCGCCGTGGCGCTTCGCCAAGCACGGCACACCTGCAGGTCAACTGAATAGGTCATTCCTCGGCACAATATGCCTGCAGCCCGTTTACATGGCCTGCATATTGCGTGAATCCTTCTCTAAATTTGGGTCTGGGCTGAGGCAACAGGCTGTCGAAAGTGCGGCGAAGCGAACCGCGAGCGCCTTGGGCCGCAGGTGTGGCCGCGCGAGCATGGGTTGCGTTGCGTCGGCTGAACCGGCCGACTCACAACACGCCAGTTGTGCGCAAGTGCGGCAGCTTCAGTGGTCAGCTATGTACACTTCGAACCAACATGCATCTCAGAGACGGGACCCGTGATGACTTGTGCGGGGTTCATTGATAATTACCTTCGTGGTATTTCAGACTTGAATCGGCGCCCTGTCTGATGCCTTGCGTCAAATGCCCTGCGCGTCTGTTCCCTGACAACCGCCCGGTATTTCTCATCTATACCATACTTCTGTTCCTTCTTCTACCAATCGAGAGTGTAGAGCGTGTTTCTGTCCGACTGCACAATGTCCTGGTCATTCACTGACACGCCCTTGAATGCTTTGGAGTCGTTGACGCTGGATGATACCCATGACAACCAGCGGGGTCGGTCGACGAATCGTGAGGCTTCGGCTAGATCCTCTGGCATACCCATCGACGCTTCCTTTGTCTCTACCGACCCTGGTGCCGAGACAGCGTCCAGTGGTGTGCACGTCTTTGTTCAGCCATCTTGGTCTTTCAACTCAGCGGCGCGAGAGTCGCCGGATCCCGCTGACGACTCTGTTGATCATTCATTCGCCTCTACGACCTCTGCTGGAGAGACACCATCTAGAAACCTTTATGTTTTTGGCCAATCACCTAGGAGGCATGCTTCTCCATCACCCACGCCAGCTGGAAGAGCACAGGACGGGAGTGAGCCCTTCACATTTCGATCGCTTCACAATGTCACACCTGAGCCACCGCGATTCGTCCCTCCTCCTGTATCGTTCAGCCCACTCCCCCGGCCATCGAGCCTGGCGCCCATGCTGAGTCCATCTCCACGACTCCAAGAGCCGAGCACACTTTCAGTTCGTTCTCAGCCTGCCGCAACCACTCCTGCGTCGGACTCAGCCCCTCGTGTCCATTCGTCTTCAGCATCAAGCCAAGAGAACCCAAGATCACCCGTGGCTACAACCACAGGCGATACCGTCAGTCCAGCTGCAGTTGTCCAGCCTTCACCACAACCCATTCCATACGATGCCAAAGATGAACCGGCGCCAGCTCATGCGCTTTTCACGTCGACCTTCCAGGATGCTCTGAAAGACGGCCGCAAGATCGCTCAAGGTGCTGTTGCTGCCATAGAGGCCGCAATCGGAACGGGCACGGCAGAGCCTGATGATTTGCTACGCAAGCTTATGCAAGACGCAAAAGGCTTGACAAAATTCGAAGGCACTGACACGCGCGCAATCGCCGTGTTAGGGGACTCAGGAGAAGGTAAGCATAAATCAATATATGTAGAGTGTCTTCATGCCGTGAGTAGGCGATGCTAAACATGTGCACAGGGAAAAGTAGCCTGATTAACTCCCTGCTTCACTTTCCGGGTGTGGCTCAAACAGTATGTTTCCCTGCTTGGAATTGACCATCATATTCAATGCCAACGCTCATCCACACCACAGAGTGACGCTGGCTCTGCATGCACCGCTGTCGTAACCGAGTATCGCCAGAAAAAGGCAGAGCATACCGCCCCGATCACGATCGAGGTTGACTATTTCTCAGCCTCTGAGATCGCCGTCCTCGTACGTGAGCTTCTTTACAGCTATAGGCAGTTAGATCTCCCGTTGGTTCAATCGCTGGAGGACACCTCGGAAGAGGTCTATGCCAAGTGTGAACGGGAATCGGCAAACGCTTGGTCTCTTCTGGAAGCTGCTTTCAAGCACAAGCCACAGTTCACTATGTCCTACGCCCGGGACACATCAGATGGCGCATTGGAAAGGATATCCAGCCAACTGATCCAATGGGCGAACGAACTTGAGTGGCCGAACAATGGGCAAGAAGGTCGCTGGGTCGCCACCGCTACCACAGCCGAAGATTGTGTGGAACAGACTAAGCAGTTTGCCCACGACAAGTACTGGCCCTTTACCAAGATCATCCGGTAGTGCTCACATCCCCCCATGTCTAAAACGTTCTAACGGCAGGCAATTTCAAGAGTATATCTCAGTTCACAAGTTCTGAAAACGGGAGTCGTACTCGCCGATCTGCCTGGTTAGTACATGTCCAATAAACATACAGAAAACGAAAAATCACTGACACAAGACAGGCCTCCAAGATACGAACTTGGCAAGGGTCCAAGCAACTCAAAAGTATCTTCTCAAGTGCGACAACATCCTCATCGTGACTAAAATCTCACGCGCAATCACGGATAAATCTCTCAAATCTTCGCTGTTCTATGTCCTGTCTCAGCACATGCCATTGGAATGGGAGCAGTCAGGCATACAGAAACTGAAGGTCGGTGTCGTTTGCACCAAGTCCGAGGTTAGCTTTACTCGACATCCTCCAGTCGCCACGTAATCTCACCCTTTTATCAGGAAATCAACCTAAAAACAGCTAAATCTGAGTTCTGTGGTCCGGGCAAGATCATCTCGCCAGAGACTATGAAGCACCTGGACGAAGAAATCGAGTCGGCGAAGTCGTGTGGTGATAGGTTAAGGAAGAAGAGCGCTAAGAAGCAGTAAGCCCGAGTCTCGTTTTGAAGCAGGTTCTTGAGAACAGATTCTAATACCGCCTCAGGCAGCAGTTGGCCCTCGTTAGAGCCAGAGCCCAGCACGTGAAAGCAAACCTCCAGAGGATCTACGCCTCGAAGATGGACGGCAGGGAACTGCAGGTCTTCTGTGTCTCCAATACCTGGTATGAGAAGTACTGTCCCAAAGGCAATCAAGAGCTTGTACAAGGGAGTGGCATCCCCGACCTTCGACGATTCTGCCACACTGTTGCCGCAGACATGCATTTGAACGAGGCGAAGCAATTCCTCAGATCGAGGCTCTTGGGACTTCTCGAATCACTGGACCTTTATGTCCGCTCAAAGATGGCAGTTATCACACAGAGTGACCAGGCCAGCAAAGCCAGAGCTAGCCGTGAATCACTCAGCAAACATCTAGATAGTGTTGCCCAAGAGGTACGGCCCAGCACCTGGGATCACCGTAACTACACGCAGTGTTGCTTACGAAATGTCCAGAACGTCGCTCTCACAGACAAATTCCGATGCGACTTTCGAAGCTGCTTTGAAGAGCAGATTTTGGCATTTTTCGGTACTTTGATGCCCTGACTGAGATTTGCGAGCGTTACGCTAACTGGTTGCGCTTGAAGGTGGAAGGGGACAGCACTGGGAGACAGCGGCGACCAAAGAAGGAGAGAAATGGGATAACAGAAGAGTATGTCCTGACTTTCACCCAAACAGAAACATCTCAAGCTAACTATAGCCGAGGAATGGCATTGGAGTAATCCACAGACCAGCCCTAATAACCATGTCGAGGGCGCAGCTGACCCAGTCTCTGCAGGTCAGATCAACGCGTGGTGCCTTCACAATGGCCACCATCAGACGGCCGGGAAGGCCCGCGAAAACTGGAACGCCAATATCATATGGAAGATGCGAACGGAGCTTGAGACGCAATGGGAGCTTCTCGAGGAAGAAGCTGTCGATGTTTTCTCCGCAGTTCTCGAGGGTTCGAGGCGCCAATTGGAGTCAGTGAAGGAAAGCGTACGAAGTGAGTTTTGACTGTTCTAGGGCTGTATCTGAGATGATTGGCATTAACCTATGACCACAGACGAAGCTCCGCGTGACTGCGCTTCTCCTCTGGTCTCTAGCATCGACTGCCAGCTGCAACTTCTTGAGTATGAATTGAAGAGACTTCAGAGAGATTTTGTTGAAGAAGTGAAGTATGATAGCTCCCAGACCATTGCTTACTGATTGATCTCTGTCGCTCACGGACCGCCATGCAGGGCTTTGCGGAGGTATGCATCAGAGGCAAATCACAACTCCTTTATCCTCCAAGACATGATCCCGACGTATCGATCTGCCGTGGCGCAATACGGTGCGTTTCCAACACCCCTCCATTCAACATGCAAAGACAATAGCTAACAAGGAATTTCCAGGATCTGGCAAGTCAGCGCGGCAACGGAGCATTCTGCGCCGCCACATTGACAGTGGTACCATGTTTTCAGAGCTCTCTGTCTCTCTTTCCACGAAAATGGATGAGATGATTGCATCTGCGGGTGCCAAGATGGCCGAGTGTCTCGAAGCTTCATTGCGAAAAGTCAGAAGCGACGTAGATATCGCCTTTCGGTCCACGGACGGAGTGCTCCATACAACCCGTGTACTAGATGACGCCACGAGCCGCCGACTGCAGCAATTTGCAGTAGCTATAAATGATCTGAAGCAGAGACATGAGGTTTTGTGGCAGAGCATTGGGACAGTCTGAGGTAGCCAGTGGCTAGAGCCGGGGTTGTTTAGGAAACGCATTGGTGTGTTCTTGGTCAACATGTGGACTGGGGGCATCTCCCTTCCCATTTGAGGTATTTTCTAGCTAAGCAAGTAAACTGTGGCTCGTTTGTGATATTGGAAAGAGTTGTCAATCAGGCCGTGAGACTTCAGGTGATTGCAACGTCTGGTGTTACTGATACGACGTGGCTGGGCAGGTGTCTCGAGCCACCCCTCCGCCGTAGCTGTAGGGTTGTCGGCGCCCTCCGTTACTCTTGCGGGGAACAACACCAGCTGAACATCACCAGAACTCACCATCCGCAACATTCGACGGCTGCTATCAAGTCGATACTTTCTTAAAATAAAAAAAAACCATGGCCAGTACTGCCACAGCTACCAACGTCTCTGCCCCAGAAGCGGAGACGATGCAGCTCCGCCTGGCGTCCGGCAACGGCCCCATCACCCGGACCATCCGCCGCACGCCGCTCCGGGACGCATCGCCATCCGAGATCCCACTTATCGACGTCTCGCCCATGTTTAGTGACTCGCTCGCCGACCGCCAGGGTGTGGCGCGCAAGGTCCACGATGCGGCCACGAACAACGGCTTCTTCTACATCAGCAACCACGGCATCCCGGCCGAGGTGACGGACAGTGCACATGTGGCGTGCCTGGACTTTTTCCGCCAGGATATGGACGTCAAGATGAAGACGGACGCGAACAAGGGCTCCTTCCACAACGGGTACCGCGCGCCCGACACGCAAAGACTCAATCCGGATGAGGGCGTCGACATTCGCGAGAGCTACACCATCCGCTACGACCCTCGCATCGATCCGACCATTGCGGACCCGTCAAGCATCCCGGAGCAAGCGGCCAAGTATCTGCACATCCACAACTCGCCGTGGGAGAACACGGAGAACCTGCCGCACTTCAAAGAGTCGTTTGTGCGCTACTTCCAGGCCTGCCTCGTCCTGGCACGTGCTCTAACGCGAGCCTTTGCACTCTCACTGGGACTCGATGAGGGCGCCTTTGACAGCAAGGTGCAATACCCAGACGCTGCATTCGGGTTGAACTACTATCCCCCCATCGCTGGAGGCAGCAGTGACAAGGCCGCGGCGACACTCACGCCCGGGGATCCCGACGCACGCGTGTCCATCGGCTCGCACACAGACTTCCAGCTCTTCACGATCCTGTGGCAGGACAGCAACGGCGGGCTGCAGGTGCTGAACCGCGAGGGCCAGTGGATCGGGGCGCGGCCGGTCGAGGGCACGTTTGTGGTCAACATCGCCGACTACCTGCAGCGCATCACCAACGACCGGTACGTGAGCACGGTGCACCGCGCGCAGAACTGGAGCGGCCGCGAGAGGGTCAGCATGCCCTTCTTCTGGGGCTTCGGGCTGCACGAGAGCTGCGGCGTGCTGGACAGCTGCGTGGCCGCGGGGGAGGAGAAGAAGTATGACGAGATTAGGTGCATAGACTGGTTCAACCGCAGGATTGGCAATATGCTGGATTTGAGCGAGGAGAAGTGAGTCTTCTCGAGCGAGACGAGGGCTAGATTGTCAACAATTGAGAATGCGTGATTCATCATGGGCGATTCCATAAACGTAGTTGCGACTGCATCTAGATAAGTGAGCGGTAAGCTGGTGCAAAACGAACGCTCATTAAGATTCTTCGCTCCTTGAGGAATGCAATACATCTTCACTCTCGATCGCGTGGGCAAGAGTGGATGGTGACTTTGGCTTGGATGGCAGCGAGAGGCGGCTTGACGTGAGAGAGCCGAGGCTCCACATTCCCCTTTGGGACGCTTACATAACATCCCGGACCCTGCACACGCAGCCAATCATGGCGCCGCGACACCTTGAAATTCTTCGCCCAAGCTCGAGTCCGTCACGCCCGCGACAACCTCACCCGCCAGCGCGTGCAACAATGGCCGAAGCAGTAAAGGCGGCGGCCCGCCAATTACCGGCCTTCAGGCTGGGGCAGAAGCAGGTGTTTCTGTGAGTCTCGAGCCTCGACTTTGCGCGCGCGCGCCGCATGCGACCAATGCGCCGTCGCACACATCCCTCGCTAACCTCCGCCATCCAGGCCGAACCATGTCATCACCTTCCTCCGCAAGGAGCACCTCCCCCCGAACGAAGCCTGCTTCCAGGTCCCCCTCCGCTTCACGAAGTTCGACCTGCGAGACTACCTGTGGAACCTGTACGGCGTCGAGGTGCGGACGGTGCGCTCGTACGTCAAGCCGCAGCCGCTGACGCAGCGCAACTCGCACTCGCGGTCGTGGTACCGCCCGCAGCCGCTCAAGATCATGACGGTCGAGCTGGCCAAGCCCTTCCAGTGGCCCGAGCTGCCGACGAACCTCGAGCCCTGGAGCAACGAGCTGTGGAAGATGCGCGAGGACCTCATGGAGAAGCGCAACGAGGAGCAGCTGCACCAGCACGCGTTCAAGATCCCGCTCAAGAGCCAGGAGCCCCAGTCCAAGGAGAGGAAGGACCTGGCCGCGCTGGCGGGCCAGATGCTCAGGGGCGAGGTCAAGTGGTCCAACGACGCGGTGCTGGACCCGAAATGGGACGACGTGCTGGCCAAGAGCGCTGCGGTGCCGCGGGAGACGACGCCGAAGAAGGACGAGACGACGCTGCCATGAGCCCTCTCGAACGGACGATCCGAAGGAGATATCAGAGTGGAGGACACATTGTAAAGGCATATCGAATGGGAGGACTGCCGCCGCCGAGACGGCATGGTATCATGTATGATTAGCGGGCACACAGATATGTACATTACCGTGGCCATTGGCTGGGCCACGACTACTGCCGGCATTGCAAACAAGCCCAAAGAAACCATGAATGCTCATAGAGCAAACCTCATTCTCACGCCTCCTTCTTTTCTTCTTGCCCCGCGAGTGGCTCCCAATACGAGGCATCCTGGAACTGCAACACCTGGTCTCCCCAGCTCCACCACCCGGCCGTCAAGTTCCGCGCAAACACTTCCAGCCCGACGTACCCTCGCCCCAGCACGCCCTCGAACAGACCACGCAGAGTGGGCTTCCTCGAGTGCACGTCCGGGCACGCGACAAGGACCTTGGGTGCCAGGCCCGGCGGAGTCTTCGCCCCGCGCCGCTTCGCGATGAGGAGCCGCTCCCAGGGCTTCCTCCACTGCGACTCGACGTCGTACAGCGGCTTGCCCGACGCGGCGACCTTGAGCCAGGTCCACTCAGCGGCGAGCTCGAGCCCCCACGCGGCGAAGAGCCCCGTCGTGGGCGCGGTGAGGAGCTCTGCGGCGCGTGCCTTGTTTGTGATCCACACGGCGACGAGTCCGTCCTGAGCGAGGTGCGCCGGGACGGGCACGGTGGCGAGGAGGTCCTGCACCTGAGGCATGGTTGTGGCCGTGGCGTACCGATCGCCTTGCCGGCGGCGGCGGGCGGAGCGGTTGGGCCACGGCGGGTCGAGGACGATGAGCTTGAACTGCGGTGCCGAGTCAAGGAGCACCTGGCGCGTTTCCTGGATGGTGCCATGGATGTGCCTGGCGTCTGGCGGCATGAATGTAGTAGGTGATGAAGCGACTGCAGGTTGGACATCAGCTGAGTCCTTCTCCCGAGCGGTCTCTCCCGCCGGGCCGGCCACACGGGGCAGATAGAAGGGTCCCTGGTGATGCTCGCGGATCAACTGCAAAGCGCGCTCCACGGCAGCAGCGGTCATGAGATCAGCGAGCTGCGCGGCGAGCGACTGCTCCGATGGGGCATGCGCCGCGCCGGCGCCGCGTCCGAGTCCACCCGGGCCATGCCTCCGAGGTTTGGGCTCCGGAGTCGGGAGCGGCGCCGATGGCGGAGGGCCCGAGTAGATGCGGCGCGACGGGCCGTGGCCAGGTGGGACCTGCGCCTCCTCGAGCGAGCGCGGGATGTCAATCAGGACGACGGACTTGTCGTCGGACGAGAAGATGACGCTGGAGGGCGGTGCGGCGACTGCGGGTTCGGGCATGGCCCGTGGTTGTGGGTTGGAGAGTTTGGGTGTCTGGAGACACGACATGATGTTTTGAAGGTCTACGAAGTACAGCCTACACGGCGGGGCCTGCGCTGGCTGAGGTGAACATGTCGCCAACGTTTCAACCTTGCCTGAGCCGGACCTCAGCCCGTCGTTATCTTCTCTAATGAAGAGCAATTTCTGTGAAAAGAGTAAAAGATTGTTCCCAAAGTCGACAATTGCTAAAAGTGACATTTTTCGCTGGGCCCTGCCCGAGCTACAGCCGCCTCGCCTCAGGCCCAAGGGTTCTCTACAAGCGCATCGGGGCCTAGCAATGCTGCTTCTGTCACTACCTACGAAGCAATGTAGGAAGATTCAAAGCCTTCTCATTATCGATGCGGCAGTTCTTTTGCATTTTCAGTCCCCCAGTGTGTCTAGTCCTCCGCTGTCATTGACAACGGGGACTGTACGCTCTGTGGGGCAACGGTATTGCATGAAAGCCGTTTCATGGCTTGTGGGCAACAGCGACACTCATGCTGCGCGGTGCAGTCTTCTTGGAGCAGTTTGAGCAATGGCTTTACGCAGATGCCCAATGCCACTCTCTGCGTGGAAGAGATGCTGCCTGCCTGAGGAGACGCCGAGGGTGCGGTACGACAAGCTGGCTCACCGGTTGTCGCGACTGGGTGAGAGACACGGGGTGGTTTGAATGCAACGACCACATTACAAAGTACCTTATCGTTGACGTAGGCGATTAGGCCTTCTTCCATGGCCAAATCATTCGCCTGCGATACCTGGGTAGCCCTCTCACGTCGCATCCCCAGATATTGACGCCGCTTACATGCCTCACATATGCGCTGCGCCGCTGTGGATAAATCATGAGCCCGGCGGTGACTGACAGCTCGGCTTTGTGCCTTTTCTGCAGTGTCGCGTGGACACAGGCGGGCTCGGCTCAGTGGCACAAGGTTTCGGCAATCTTCGGCTCCAGCGGTTTGGCTTGGGGCGGGCAATTCGCCTCCCCGCCCTCGGCCTCTCCAGGGCGCTTTGGTGGTGGCCCCGCGAAATTTCCAGGCCCAGCCCAGGCACTAAACCTAGGTGGCAGTTCTTCGCGGAGACGCAAGGCCGTTGATGCGCCACGCACGGGCGGGACCCTCCAGTTTTGCAGCGGGTGCGTGACCACTGACCACTTGCAGCGCAGCGGGTGCGGATGACGTCCACTCCTCCGGCCGTATTGCCGGGGTCCCGTCGTGACCCGGAATTTCCTCACACTTCTTTGCCCTCCATATCCATTTCCTTGACCCGCCCATTCCACCACCAACACCGTCTGCAACGTCCATCGTCGGCGACAGTCCTTTCCGACTCACGGTCCTGAAACGGCGCGCGACTCTGCACGTTGGTCCCCCGTCTGCGCATCAGCCCCCCCAGAGACGACGCCCGCAACAAACGACTCCCGCGCCGGCATGCCGGTCCCGTGAGACACTCCCTCTCTCCCACACCCCGTCGCCTCCTCAGCCGCCGAGCTCGCCGCCGCCAACACACGCGCGCGCCGCCCGCTCAAGCACCGGAATGCCTTCGTCGGCTGCTCTCGTCGAGCATGCCCCCTCCATGTCCGATATCGCGCGCGACCAGGTGAAGCAAGTGCGCCATCAGGTCGGCGCCGTCGTCGCGCCCGCGGCCGGCACCGGCAGGAAGGATCCCGCCGTGTGTCCCACCGACGACGAGACCCTGACCCCGCGGAAGAAGGATACGCGAACCTGGAACTATGTGTGGCGGTCCGGAGTTGCTGGCGGCATGGCCGGCTGCGCGGTATGTCGTTGCCCTTCCATTCTTCCTGTCCTCCATGTCACCGACGCTGACCTCCGTCACAGGCCAAGACGCTCGTCGCCCCCCTCGACCGGGTCAAGATTCTCTTCCAGGCCAGCAACCCCCAGTTCGCAAAGTATACCGGCTCCTCCTTTGGCGTCGCGACCGCCATGAAGGACATCTACAGCTCCGAAGGCGTCCGCGGCCTCTACCGCGGGCACTCGGCCACCCTCCTCCGCATCTTCCCCTACGCCGGCATCAAGTTCCTCGCCTACGAGCAGATCCGCGCCGTGCTCATCCCCAACAAGAACCACGAGACGCCCCTGCGCCGCCTGCTGAGCGGCAGCCTTGCCGGCGTCACCTCCGTCTTCTTCACCTACCCGCTCGAAGTGGTCCGTGTAAGGCTCGCCTTTGAGACGAAGCGCGAGGGCCGGTCTTCCCTCACGTCCATCTGCCGGCAGATATACAACGAACAGCCTCCGCAAAAGTCGGCCACGGCGCGGCTGCCCGGCGCGCCCCTGCCCGCTGCCGCCGCCGAGACGGTCAAGGCCATCAACCCGCACGTCGGCCTCATCAACTTCTATCGCGGCTTCGCGCCGACGCTGCTGGGCATGCTCCCCTATGCGGGCATGTCCTTTTTGACACACGACACTGTTAGCGATTTGATGCGCCACCCCGCCATCGCGAAGCACACGACGTTGCCTCGCAAGGCCAACCATCCCGAGGGCAAGCCCGCCGCGCTGCGATCGTGGGCGGAGCTCAGCACAGGCGGTATCGCCGGCCTGGTTTCGCAGACGGCGTCCTACCCGCTCGAAGTGATCCGACGGCGCATGCAGGTTGGCGGCGCTGTGGGTGACGGACGCAAGCTGCACCTGGGCGAGACGGCGCGGACCATATTCCGCGAGCGCGGCATACGCGGCTTCTTCGTCGGCCTGACGATTGGCTACGTCAAGGTCATCCCCATGGTGGCCGTCAGCTTCTACACGTACGAGCGCATGAAGCTCGTCTTTGGCATATGAGATTCGGATTGGAAAGGCTGATTGGTTTTGTTTTGTCTTGGTCTGGCGTTGGGCGGCATGACTTGCGAATGAAGCAACTGCATGGGAAGATGAGCTGGTTTCGGCCGCTGGCCGCGCATGGATCGATTACTATGGGAGAGAAGTCGATGGCTTTGTGCATAGAGGGTAGACTGATGCCATCCTACATACATATACGCTTTCTCCTCTGAGTACACGCATCTTGTCGCCATCGCCTGTCCGTGGAGAGGACAGTTCCCGTAGACCGTGAGACCGACAACCACTACCAACAACACACGGTGACAGCGCCTGCAAAGGTTCGTTTGCTTTCATCTTCAATGCAGCTACTGGCCAATTGGGATTTTTGCCAAACAACAGGAAAAACAATCCTTCGTAAGAGTCTCTTTGCAGATCCGAAAGTCAGTCGCGAAGGAGTTGGTCGAGAGCTCCAAGGGCTCTGATTGGCCAGAGTGCCAATCCGCGTCCCTGCAGCGGCTCCGCTAGGCCGTACGTTTAGTTTCCACATCCAAGAGACGGCAACCAAGCAACCTCATCCAGCCTCTTTTCTTCCGTCACCCTCAGCCTCGCGACTCCCCTCTCCCTCTCCCAACGCAAGGTCGGTCGCGGATATCCACGCAAGGAGCTTACATCGAGCACCTCGTTGGCAATCACCCTCTTGTCGCGTCACGTCCGACCCGGTACAATTCGGCTCGACACACTGCGCAGGGGATATCGCGCCAGAATCTTCAAGCTCGACCGTCCGCCAACATGGCCCTCGCCGACCATGACCCTCTCCTCCTCCTGCGGCAGGCCATCTCCGCCGGCAACCCCTTCATCCCCAGCCCGTCCGACGACCCGGGCGCCGCCGAGGCGCCCCTCGCCGACGCCTCGCACCTGCAGTTCACGAGCCAGGGCACCGCGCTGCCCCTCGACGCGCCCACGCGCTTCATCTCCAATGACAAGCCCGTCGACCTGCGCAGCATCTACTTTGCGTGGCTGAACCGCGAGCTCGCCATCCCTGAGTACAACGCCTCGGCGACCACCCTCAACGAGCAGCTTGCCGCCGCGGGCTCCCCCGGCAAGGTCCAGAACCTGGGCTTCATCGAGCGCCTCGATCTCATCACCTGGCTTGAGGGGGCCAGCGAGGAGAGCGAATACATTAAGCCGCTCGCTGGTGATGCAGAGGCTGCGGCCGCGGCTGCGGCTGGTGCTGCGCCGGCAGCCAAGCCTGGTGCGGCCGCCGCCGCCGCGAAAGCCAGGGCCGGCAAGGGAAGTTTGGATCCGCGGCTGGCGAGTGTGTACGATGGCGAGCGTCGCATGGGCGATCGTAACACTGTCCTGAGAGGCATCAAGCCTACAGTATGTCTCTCGGCCCCTCTCTGGCGCCGCCGGATGTGCTCGTCTGATAGCTGACATTCGTCCCCAGGATTTTTCACATGTACGAAAGCTCGCCGTGCCCTTTATCCAGCGAAAATCGTCGTCCGCTCCCATCGTGCCCAACAACGCATCCCACGTCACCGATCAGAAGAAGCCCGCGCGGCGCCCCGACCCCATCATCCTGCTGTCGCCCTCGGCATCGGCCCTCCTCCGCATGTCCAACGCCCGCTCGTTCCTCGAGGACGGCAAGTTCGTGCCGCCCGACGCGGCGGCCACGGCGGCCAGCATGCTGCACGTGCAGCGCACGATGCGGGGCATCGACCCGAACCGCCCCATGCGCTTCATCCTGGTCGAGGGCTCGGAGCAGTTCAAGCCCGAGTACTGGAACCGCATCGTCGCCGTCTTCACCACGGGCCAGACGTGGCAGTTCAAGAACTACAAGTGGAGCAACCCCAACGACCTGTTCAAGCACACGCTGGGCATCTTCGTCGGCTGGCGCGGCGAGCAGGCGCCCGACAACGTGCGCAGCTGGGGACACCGCGTGCTGTCCACGGGCGTGGACCGCTGGAGGGGCGGCGATGGCCAGGACGCGTCGCGCTTCAGAGATAAGGAGGTCGTGGAGCAGATCTGGAAGGCCATCGAGGCGAACATGCGCAGCAAGGGCTGGAGGGCAAACGCCGCGCCCACGTCTATATGAGAGCGGGCCGTTGTTGTTGCGATGGACTCTTTGACTGGAGAGCCGGGCCTCGAGCTCACTCCCATCGGCATGGGGTTTCGGTAGACACGGGGGAGACTAGCGACGGCGTTGGGAAAATTTGACATTTACATGTGTATGCCGGACGGGCGGGATGTCGGCTCAGACCAAGTTGTGGCCTGGGGACTGGAACTTGGCGGGGGACTCGCGGAAGACTGAAGCGGTCATGGTCCAGAATGGATGCTGGCATATCAGCACGACTTGTATATTACCACTGACAGCAATGGACATGATTTCTCAAGGGGCATGTGCGCATCGTGGTCCGTGGATTCGACGTGCCGCTTCAGAACGTCCCACGTTCCAGGCATGTCTCTGTCAATCGACAGAGCTCTTTGGGGGTATTCGACTATGCGTGGCTACCGCCCTACCATACAACGTCACGGCAGTTGCAACCGTCCTCGCCTGACAATCCCGCCGGCGTTCTTTTCTTCAGACACGGTACGAGCTTACAGGACACGCAGTGCGTAGCGTTCCTCTTGATCGAACTCAACTTACATGAGCGCCTGTCTCGCAGCACGGATATCGAGGCAAGAACAACATCTACAGGACGGCACGCAACACTGCGATATCACTTGCCCACGCTCACCTTTACCGGCAATTCAGATGGTTCCGCTCGTGGAGAAGAGCTCACTCACATGGCTGGTCACGTATCTAGACGCTGCCGGGACCCTTCTCATCTCGCCGTAAAGTACGTATAGTACGTCGTCGGGCCTAGTTCACGATACTCTAGGAAGGATGAAGGCGCAGGAGCCCGCCCGCAAGACTCGGTACATCGTTTCGGGAGTTGAACAGGCGCCGGTACCAAGCCTATCGGCGCCGAAACACCGTTTGCGCCTGCGGAAAGGGACTCCGTTCCGTAAACAGGGGCGTCTGGTCTCTGGGCCAGAGCCTGCCTACTTCGCAACGACCGGATGATATGAGTCTGCGCACTCGACGACGCATAATATAATGCCCCGCAGGAAGCCGAGGCTCGGTCTTTCTGTCTCGACGCGACTATTCGCTTGCGACGTCGGCGGTGAACGAGTCACAGCGGTGTTTTGGAGACGAGCACGACGCTTTCTCACTGTTATTACCCGCCTTCCTCGGACGCCGTCGCTATCCGATCGCCGTATAATAGGTCCTTGGCAGAAGCAGCAGCTGTCACTTTCTGGCCTGACATCTCTGAACCACGGTGCTGCTGCGTGCCCTGACCTTATTGATGCCCGTACCCTGAAACACGGATATCGGTACGTCCCCCCCTGCGGCGCAGGCGGCAAAGGGCCCAGAAGGAAAAAGAAACGCTCAACCACCGAGCGGACGACACGCCACACACACGCCTTTCCGGGTCCCGCACGCCATTTCCCACAGTGCAACGGCATTGCGCGATAGGTATCTACGATATATGTATGTATGCATGTACTCTCTACTTGCTGGGGACGGAGGAGGGGGGAAAGGGGCGTACGTCTGGGCGGGTGGGTTTTCCCTCATGCGAACCCGCATGAGCGCCGAGGCAAGGCAGGCCCCGGCAAGACAATGCCGCTGCCTGTCAATATCACGAGACGCCCTGCGCATAGTGTTGGCCATTATAGGCGGCGTGCCCACGCGCGCGCGCGCGCGCCACGGCGATCGGCGACACATGGCCGAGGGTCGCTTTTCGATCATTCACTTTGCAATTACACGCGCCGTGTTTGCTATAGCTTGGGAAGCCCCATTGCCGATGCCACGCTTGGCGGAGATAGGGCAGGAGGGGAAGCACAGGTCAGGTACCACGTCGGCCGGGCCTTTGAAACAGCGTGCATCACGTCCCGGACAAGGTGGTTGTTGGCGTTTCAAAATCAGCACCACACTCGGTGGCAGGCGTATATGTACGACAGGGCATTGGGTCACCCCGGTCTGTCAATGCCACATTGTACATCTATCTGGGAGCACCAGGGGAGGGGACCGTTCAATCGCTGCCAGGGCGTCCGTCCTCGTTGGGGTGTAAAAGCAGGCAGACACATGGCAAACAAGCCGCAAGGGGTGCGTACTCGTACCTGTCACAGCCAGTATTTTCTTTCCGTGGGTTGATTTGTTGCAGGACTGGGCTGGCTGGCATGGCGGATAGCAAACGGCGTTGATGCATGCCCCGTCGCATGTTTGCGAGGCACGGCACAGAGGGTCCTCTCCCCCGACTGGACTACCTCGTAAGTTACTTCGTAGATCGGGATGCCGCGCCGGGAAGGATGAGAGTGCGCATACTGTGCATTGGGGGCCGCGGACTGCATGATGACGCACAAATCAGTCGTTGCCATGTAAAACAGAGTTATCAATCTCCCCCATCTCCAAATGCATACATACACCCCGTCCAGGACGCGACGGCAGCGGGAGAGAGCCAATTGCCGACAGCGTCTGTCGTCCCCGCCCGGACCCCGTATCGTACCATGTGTTCACTCATCAGAAAATAACGGTGCAGCCTGAATTCAGCACGTGTAGATGGGATGGTGGTGGTGGTGGTGGTGTGTGTCTGTGCGGCTATCTAGGCAGCTCATAGAGGTTCTCTCTGCTGCCTGCCTCACGACGCGCAGTTCCGCGTGCCAAGGGGCATGTCGCTATCACTTGTCACCGACGGCTGGAATGCGCCACCTCGTCCAAAGCACGAAGGAAACTATAGTTTGCCCAGGAACGATGTTTGAGAAACGCGTGAGAATGACGGCGGCGGCGTTTGGACAATTCCCTTTCCCGTGCGTTGGGCTCGCGCGCGCTCATCACTCACACGCATGCGTCCAGACCGGCTCGTACGTTGGATGATGACGGTGATGTGCCCGGCAGGCGGACAGCCGTGCACGGCCGGGGAGCCAAGGCCGAATGTCCGGCGGGGCCGTGCCGGTGGTTTCGGCCTGCTGCGCCGGGCGCTGGTGCCGCTGCCGCTTGCTGTACGTACACAGTCGCCTGCCACCACCGCTGCTGCCGCTCTCCACCTAGCCCGTCAGTGACGGCGGCGGCGGCGGCGCCTGTTGGCGGCGAGCCCGAGCCTCGGGATGGCTTGCGCGCAACTCAATTCAATGTCATCGCACGCAGGGGGCAATCGCGCACCGTGGCAAGCGACGTGCGCCATATGAAAAAGAAAAAAAAATCGAGCTCAGACAATATGGCAATCAGGCCCGTTACCATGGCTCGGTATACAGTACCTGTACCGTTGCGCGCGGCAAACAGTGGGAATGCCGCCATCACCATCTTGGGGGGTGCCCGTCTATCATCCCCAAGCTGTCGCTTCCAGGTTTCTTCCTCAGGTCATTCCCCAGATTTTGCCCACAGCAAAGCCAAAAGGCAGCAAGTAGAGCAGGGCCTGCCTGCTGCAAGTCTCAGAGTTCAACTCCACATCGAAGAGCATCTGCCTGCCAAGCGGGCGTCGTCATGCGATTGATGCGATAGCCGTAGCGAGTGCCCCCAAGTCCCAAGTCCCAAGTTCCCTACAGCCACGCACGTATCCACGCGCGGCTCGGCTGCCTCGGAGTACATGGTAGTACGCCCAGAAACCCAAACGATAAGGCTAGGTTTCCACGTAGCCACCGCCAACAAGAAACAAACAAAGGGGCAGCAGCAACGGCCCCTTCGTATGACGCCAACCCGGCGGCCCCAAGCCCCTTTGAGGGCACGAATGCACGTGTGCCGCGCGTGTCTGCGTTGCGTGTGTGTTTGCGCTCGGACAGGCCGATTAGTGAACGTCAGCCCAGCAGCAACACATGCCGAGGTGGAAGCTAAGGGTGGCAGCCTTCTCAGAGTTTGAACTACCGTCGAGGCGCCACGGCGCGGCAACGGGATACGTAGTAGATGATCCTAAAAAGAAGCTTTCGGGCGGACTGTGGAGGATGGATGCGCCGCCGCGGCGGCGACTGCCTTTGGCCCTCGCTCTCGGCTTCTTGCGAAAAGGGCCATTCCGCCTGGGACTACGAACTACTATGGAAGTTGGTAGGGCTTACACGCGGCATGGGCTGGAGGCACCGGCGCGAGTCTGTGCCAGCTTCGCTATCAAGTTTACACTCGGCTGTCGTCCATGTACGCACGCCAGCAAGTGATGTTTCCCATGCTGAACAGTTCATTTGCACTGTGCTGTGTGTCCGTATCTCCCTTTCGTTCCGCAGTCGTTCCAGAAGTCCTCAGCCAAGACCCTCTTTCGCCCACCCAGGCCCTGTCATATCCCCATCCATCGACCGGGTCCCGACTCACGACGACGCCCCCCCAGGCGCCGCAGCAGCCCCTCTCCCCTCTCGGCTTTCGTCTTCGGGAAGGAGGTGTGCTAGCAGACACGAGGGTCCCCGCCCTCAATGCATGTACTTCGTACACGAATGGAGTCGTCGACGTCGTCGTCGTCGCCGTCGTTCTTCACGGGCGGTGAAGCGGTGGCTGGCCGGGGGGAGGGCATTGGCTCCTTGGCCGGGCCCCCGTTTCTGGACCGCGAGTGCCGCTTCTGGGGCTACAATCATATTACGTACCCGCATCACGGTTGTTGCTGCCCACCGTGATAAGACAGACGTGTTGTGTGTAAGAGTAATAGTAGCTGCCTACCTAGCTAGGCAGGGAGCTGTTGGTCAGATGCTCAGATGGGTCCCCGTTGAGCCCTCAGAACATCGCCGTCGTTGCGGGGAGGCTTAGCAGGCTTAGCAGGCAGCACAGTAAATAGAGTCTGAGCTTGCATGCCATGCCTCGACGAATCCGCCTGTAGCCGGCGTCCCGGCTGGGCGGTTCGCGTGAGACCGTTTTACAAGTGTTGACGCGGGAATCTTGTTTCCACGCGAACGGGCGAAGCGGTAACTTTTCGGACGCTCTGGGCTATACTAGCAGTTGGCCCTCAGCAAAATGACTTGCTGCACAAACGAGTCGGCAACTTCGGATTCATCCCGGGCTGCCGGTGACAGCTCGGGCAGCCTCATCAAAACCGGGCAACATTGGCAATGTGCCAGCCCTGCACTTCCCTCTCCACCCAA